ATTAATTTCAAAAAAAATTATTTCTCTACAATTAAAAAGATTTAACAAATTGTAAAATACTATTTCAAATTGTAAATATCAAGAACTATAAAAACGTTTGAATATATTTAAAACTCTTTACTCAAGAAAATTACCCAATTCATTAAATTATAGTATATTGTGATAATTATTCTCTAATATCATATTTAGTATTACTCTTCATCTAATTAAAAAATCCTATTAAACTTCAAAAAGAAAAGATGAAATTCATGACTAAATTAACTCAGTAAATAGTAATCATCAAATCAGCTCAAAGTAAAACAGCAAATAATCACGTAACTTTTTCGACATTCATCTTAGTCCTTTCATCTACTCTCTGTGTAATTGCAATTTTTTTTTTTTTTTTACTTTTTCTAACCCAGTTTCCAATACCTTTGAGAACTCCAGTGGTCATTGTGCCACTACATATTTCTGGATTCTGGCCAGGAGAAAAAATGTGAAAATTGTTCTGAAATATGTTAAAGAAGATTTCTCAAAAGAGCTTAGAAGTTAACGAAATTTCTGTTTTACAATTCGCGTGAGTGAGCTGTACACGATTAAAGTTGCTGCCTTTTGTCACCAAATTTAGAATATAAAATATAATTCTGCTCTTTTAATTTTTTACACATTAAATTGCAGAGTCTAAATGAAAAACGTTTTTTTTTAAATTTCACACTTAATATTAGCGTTTTTACGAATATTTTTTGATTTCCAAAAATTTTACACATTGAAAACCAAATTTAGAATATAAAATATAATTCTGTTCTTTTAATTTTTACACATTAAATGGTCTAATGAAAGACGACTTTCTTAAATTTCACACGTAGTATTAACGTTTTTACTAATATTTTGGATTTTCTTAATTTACAAAGTGGTATACCAAGAGCACATGATAATACAAAATGTTATTATCATTATGAGCTAAAGCTAATATACATTAATATAGAAATGTCTGAATATTATTCAGAATCACTAAAACTAGGAAATGTCGTGGTGTTTTAATATTGTCATATTAAGATGCATTTCTCGTTTTTCTCTAAAGATTACCGATTGAAATGAGTATCAATTAAAATACTGTCAGTTCAAATTACAGACTTACTTAAAAAGCTATTAGAGAAAAAAAAATTTTCAATCTAACCGGTAGCCTTTTTAAACTTTTTGCAAAGGTATGAAAAATACTGAATGAGAAAAATGAAATACAATTCAAGTAAAGTTAATTTATTAGTTATTTGAAAATAAAACTTTTAAGTTATAGTTGTCTGTATTTAATATATAAATAGTAAAAAGATTTAAATTATATTCTACATTATTATACGTGAAAAAGAGAAAGCTGTTTTAAAAGGAAATGACATTGTTAAACTTGTGTGCTGCTACCCTCTTAAAAAAAATTTCCAGCAATTTTTCTACCTTACTTTTTACAATTATACCGGTTCTCAGTAAATACAACACTTTATATATACTTTTAGAATCTGTATAAAAAGTAAATCTAACAAGTATACTTGGGGTTCGCAAATTATTTTGGCTAGGAGCAGGGGGATCAAAAACCCTTTTCTCATATGGCTTCCAATGAGGTGAACCGGATTCAAATCTCAGCAATGGCTGGTCGGTACGAATTCCGGCTTACACCGACCACAGTGCTGAAGTGAAATATTCTCAGTAGTAGACGGATCCTGAGTTAGAGTCCTCCTGCCGTCAGGCTAACAGTTTCTCGTGGTCTTCATCTCCATTTAACGCAAATGTGGGTATAAGAAGGCAAATTTCTCCTAATACTTGATCCTCTTGTCTTCTGGAATGGGATCAAAATTACAAGGCTACGTAGTTGAACATTAGTAGTCTTAAACACAAAAATTGGGTCGGCTGTTTAGCGACGGTTGTAAATAAAATAATTAAAAAGTAATTTCGATTACTGAAAAAAAAATTCCAAAAAATATTGCCACCTTTTTCAATGCCTTAGATACAGATTAACTGCTATGCCCATTGCCTCTTTTTTTACTGTGCGGTATCTATTAATTGAAAATAATTATAATTTGTCTAGTTGTGAATTTTGTGTTATACTTAATATATAGCACATTTTAAAGCTATTACTTTTTCAATTAAAACATAAGTATAAATCCTACTACTGATTTTTTATCATGGCACGTAAACATAAATATAAGCTAGAGTAGATAAAAATTACGCAAAGTTGCAATAATTAACAACAGTAGTCAAACTTCACTGGCGATGGTTAATAATATCCAGATTTATTACTTTAACCATAACAAATAATTATATACATATATCATGGGTCCGCTAAGTGTGACATTTGTATCCATTCTATTTTTTTTTATATGCACATTATCAAAAAAACTATTATAATTAAATTACACATTTTAGAACAATTAAATATTATGACTCAATATGAATGGGTAAAATATCGCTTCTGTCCATATCCTTAGTGCCAGAAAATACACTTTACTTACATATACAAAGGACTATAAACAAATATTGAGCAAATTTTTGTAGCTATATGTTTACTAGAGATGTTTAATGCATTTTGTAATTGCACAGTGTAAGAAAAACCCATATTTTACTTGTCACAACTGTCCCTCCCTATAAATGTTTTTAAATGGACCAAAAAAGGGTTTATCTAAATAGGAATGGAAAATTTTTAAACCTCTTTATTCATTATATACAGGAAAAATACATTAAATTTTCACACTATATGTTAACGATTTTCACATCCAAATTAATTAAAAAGTTAGAAATATTTTATTTGTCGTTACTACTGGCCCCTCTTTCATATTCCATTATAATTTTATAGTTTAGTTTTTATTAAATTTTTTCATAACTTTCCAAAAGCTATTTTAAAGACAAATAATGAGATTTTACTTGACTAAATAATGGAGACGCTTTAAAATTTAGACTTAAGAGCACGATAGTTATGTCGGTTATCAAGAATACGAGAAATCAGCAATTGAAGCGAATTGTTGGAATCTTCGGCATAAATTCAATTTCGACAATACCAAAATTATTTCCATCCCAGTCACATCAACGCATCTTGATGCTCTGGAATCTTATTTTATTGATATAAATGCTGGTATCTCTTGTTAACGTCATAAGTTCCTCACCAACTCTTCATTGAGCGTGAAAAGGCATTTTACACTGATTCACTCCACCACTGGAGTTTTTCTTGCTCTGTTTTTCATCTTTTTGTTTCCTCTCTTAGTTACTGTAGTTTTTTTAGTATTGTTTCTCGCCGTTATTTTTCCATTTTTTCGTTGGAAATATTAAGATTTAGATTACAAATCACTTTTATTTCTTTTCATTCGCATCTGGCAAGTCTTAAGAATGAGCGCCTGTTTTTGAGGGCTTGAAACATGTCGACTGTTGTATACAACTAGTATAATTTTAGTGAAGTTTTTTAATATCTTACCACTTCAGTTTACTTGGATTTTTTATTTAAAACATAATGAGATTATTGACCCAAACCAGTTTTAGGCAAATTTCTTAACATTTTATCAATTTTCCCCCATTATAAGAATACATTTAATCGGTCGGAACAAAATTAGCTATTAGAGAGATCTTAATTCATATTTTTACCGATTTTTTTAATGTAAATATTTTATAAACAAGGCTGTTTAAAAATCAAGTAAAAATGAGTAATTTATTTATTTATTTTCTATAGCATTAGAAGGAATATAACGTGCATGCGCTGAGCTATCTGAAGTGTATCATTTGTGTTTCAACAGATCTGGGAAACAGTTTCAGTTTACACCAACTATAACCAATCAATTTCTTTCAATTTAAGATCTGGTGAGATGAAAGTTGGAGCATAAGTTGCTGTGATATATGATGATTTTTGGTATTCAGGACTTATTAACAAAGAATTACAATTTTATTTTTATAATTTATTTTTATCATTTATAGAACACATTAACATAAAGGTTTTGAAAAATACCTTACTGAAATTTTGAATTATGAACTAATTTAGTCAATAACAACTTTTATAAAAAAATTTAAATATGTAGTAAAAATGAAGGTTTGTCAAAATGTGTAAGAAAATTTTGTTTTGCAATTTTAAAAAGTTAATAAATTTTGCTCTACTATTTAGGGGGCGAAGGTTTTCTACTATGCTACTAATTTCACTATAATAATTTATGCGACAAATAATAAAGAAATACTAGATGGGACAGTAGTAATATTTTTTATTATGCAAATTAATATAATAATTAATTGACAATTCAAATCTATGCAAAGTTCTCACTGAAATATGTTTTATGATATAGTGTATACACTACAAAGAAAATTACCTCAGATTACGGAAAATTTCTGACAGCAAAGTTGCTGGAGATTATCCGCATCTTACAGAAAAAACAAGTTAACAGAAATTTTCTGTAGCAAAACTAAAACAGATTAGATCAAGATACGTCAGAGAAATTTGGCATTAAGGTAGCTGTATATCCTCTGGTTTGTATCAAGAGCCAGCTTCTTAGAAATTTGATTAATTCTTAAATTATTCTATTTTTTGTGTGATTTTTCGTGATTTTTGAAGCATCGAAAATCATTACGTTTGAAGGAATCGTCATAGAACTATTTGTTTTTCTCCATTGCCGTTCTTTTAAGCAGTTCTGAAGCGAGATTCGAACCAGTGACCTTCCTGATATAAAGTCAACTAATAGACCACCATACAGCCGGTTGACATCTGTTTCAATGCATCAAATTATTTGTTAATTAAATGTTAAATTACATTAATACCAAAGGTTTTCATATTCGAAATTGAAAAAATCTGTACCCAACAAATACAACCTGTATCAATGGTTGCAGATTTGATTTATTAACTGAAAAACGTCTCTTTCGACAAATTCCGATGCAATTTAACAGTAAATTTCTGTAATTTCAGAAAAGAGAAATTTCCTGTTGGAAGGTTAGAGAATAATTATTTTTTTAACAGAAACAGTGTGCATATTAATAATTAGTATTTATAAAATAAACTCTCTTTATAGGTGATGGGTTGCGGTGGTAGCCGAGCAAGTCGCCTGGTCTCCCCGCTAAGTAAAGCTGTGATTACATGGAATGGAACAACGCAACAACCAACTGCTCTCCAACTTAAAGAAAGGTTACGCCTTCTTGGTACAAAAGATGCCTCAGTTCAGGTCATTTTTTTATGCACTCTCTTTAAAGTACAAAAAAGAATTTATATAATGATAGAGTTGAATTCATATTTGAAGCCTTTCTTCAAAAAATAGATACTTATTATAAGCATTATTTTTGAAATTTTATTTGAGTTTTGTTCGTTTCTTTAAAAATCCTGTAGTGTGCCTACCACTACAAAATTCCAATTCACTAGACATATTAACTCGATTCTATTTAGGGGCACCTTTTCATAGATGAAGGTTGACATTATCGATAACAATTCTCCCCACATTGGGACGTGATGTGAACATGCCTATCTTGACAGAAACTTCGATATAAACTCACCTGTCCTGACTGTAACGCCCACTTCGATCTGAGCACGCCTACCTCGATGGATAATCCACAGTGAACAGTTGACTTGTGACTCCAACTTTATCCATCTCCTCGCGCGGTTGCTACTCAATCTCCATCACACATAACGTATTCACTCGACTGCTAAAGGGAACACGACCGTGAACTTAATACAGCTCTCACGATCAGAACTCAAAAGTACGGTGATCTTAATACAGCTCTCCCGGCTTCTCACGAAACTGCAATGAATCAATTAGTGGTATCCATTCATCGAATTCTATCACAGCTAAAATTCTGGCGAAGGAGTACTATAACACTACAAAATTGCGATTCAAATTTACTAGTGTATAAGACCTCGATTCTATGATGGGGTACCTTTTCATAGATGAAGTTTGACATTGGAGATCTCCCCACAATCCAAACATCTAAAAGAAATAGAAATTCATATTAATCACTATAACTTTAATTGAGAATTACATAGCATTTTTCTATAATTTTTTTCTACATCACGCTTCGCTATCGAAGTAATTCGATTTGTAAAGGAGGTGAATTTTATTGAATTCAGCCCTTTTTTCGATAATTAAATACTCATTTTTTCTAAAATCTGAGTTTTGTTTAAATCCTTATTTAGATTGGTTTCACCTATTTAGATTTGTTTTAATTAAGGTTAAATTAAACGAAATTACAAAGATGAGAATAGAAAATTTAAATGTAATGCTTATTTTAGAATGATGAACAATTGGTAAAGACACATAGTCATAACTATTTATTTATATTATATTAGATAATAAATCGAATTCATACTAAAATTAAATTGAAGTATTTCATAGATAATTCCTTTCAATAGTATCAAAATGAAATAAAAGGTGAGACTTCAAGGACTGATCTAATAAAAAAATAATTTAAAATAGTATCTGCGTGAATTTAAAGAGAGTTTGCTTCAACTGCTGTAATGCTATAAAAGATTTTGAAACAATTTTTAAAATCCTCTGTCTCTGAATACTCTTCTGAAGTCTTAATCACTTCGGCACCTCTTGTTTCTTTAGGAATTGAAACTACCAAAAATTCATCCGAAAAGTATGATAAATGATTCATTTTCCCAACCTCTGAAACCAATAAATTTTGTTAAGAAACAAGGACAACCCGACGTCAAAATTGAAAAAAAATATTTCAGAAACATTTACAGCCGAGTACAGAATCGATTTAAAGTCGGTGGATGTGACTTCAAAACAATATTAAATAAGCTTGAAACTCACGTGTTCACAAGTTAGTAGATCGGCTCTGAAAATTAATAGCCGCATCTTACATAACTTTTATGTTTACATGTTTATATCTATTTATCTATCTATCTATCTATCTATCTCTATATAGAAAACACTAAGAAAGTTAAGAAAAACAAAATATTTCATATTTTTCATATCATCATTTTTCATAGTTTTCATATTTTGTAATCTGGCAATCTTTCTGCGAAAACATTTTTAAATCAATCTTGAAAAATATCTGTCCATGTAAGTTGTTATGATTTTGCTACTCGCTTTATAGTCCCCCCTTTTTTAATGTTTTTTCTTTTTATTTTATTTTATTATCTGTTTTTACATGTTATTTTTACTTTTTATGATCTATTTTTATGTAGTTATTTTATAAAAATTTTTTTGAGTGCTCCTCACACTATTGTATTAATATATTTTGCTTTGGCTTTATTGATACAATATCAGAAAGCACTCTGTTTTGCGGATATAATCGTGTGGGCTGAAGAAAAGATTATATCTTTTTTTTNGTTCTTTATTCCTCATGTTCTTTATGTTTTTTTCTCTTGTTTTTTATTTTTAGAACAAACACGTTATATTAGAATTTTACAGGTACTAATGACATAATCGTTTGCAGAAAATCAGATTCAATGTATATTTTTTATATGGATGTTAATCGTGTATCTTATTTTCATTTTGAAAAAAATAATCCTGTGGTTTTTTGAATTCTATAATTAAAGCATTTCAAATCACTGTTTTTATAAAGAGATAAAAAATAAAATAAAAAACGTGGAACTTTTGTGTGTTTCTTGATGAATATATATAAAAATTTTTTTTAAAAAGAGATAGATTGAAAGATAGAGAGAGAGGTTGTTTTTTTAAAGTGTTAATTTTAATTATTCCTTTTTAGTACGAAATTTAAAATGTGATTACATTTTATAAAAACTACCCACCAAAATAAGAACAAATATAAAAAAGATTTTAATTTTCAAGAAATAAAGTAAAAACAACTTATTTTTATAATTTACACAAAGGGAAAAAAAAAAGCTGTTGAGTTTCAGTTTGTGTAATCTTCGGTGATTGTTTAAATTTAAATTTTTTTCTTGTTGCATGAGATGTTTTGCATGGGATTTCAAATCTGTAATCGGTTTCCCTCTTCAAGCTATGGTTTTTTAATAACATTTTTAGTCTATTTTTTGTCGAAATGTACAAGTTTAAAGGCGTTATATATAACACGGGGTTGCGTAAATGTTTTGAAAACTCTCTAGGGGCGTTAGGTCACATCATCAGGATTAAAATTGTATAGAAACATGTGCCCGGAAATGTCGTCACACGGTACTAGAGTCATTTGTTTAATTTTTAATATGAACTATTTCTTTGTGTGCTTCTGAACAGGTTATAATAGGTTGTATATAGGGAAGCAGCCCTAGTCGTGTATGACAACATTTCCGGGCATGGGTACCTTTGCAATTTTAATCCTGTTGTGCGCCCTTACTCCCCAATAAGCTTGTTTCAATATTTACGTGACTTCGTAGCTTTGTAATTTTGAACCAAGAAAAAATACTTATACATAAAAGACTAAAATTCCTAGAAGTTTCATGAAATTAAACCTGAACTAAATCTAAGTTGTGCTTCAGAAAAGGAAAACTTGGATTAGTAACCTAAACTAAAATCTTTACTTCAGTTGAATTTTTCTAAACGTATGTTTGGTTTAATACTAAAAAATGTATAAAAAAAGATTTTTAAGAAGTTTAATTCATTTATTAAAATGTTCTTTCTACATTTCAATTTTAAAAGCAATGTTTTTAAAATTTTTTTAAGTATTTTTATATTTTTTAACACGAAACAAATGACAAATCTCAAAGAAATAAATTTTTGAAGAAAAAAAATGAAAAAAAAGAGCTACAGTTTTCTAGCAAGTTTTTCTTTTGGTCGCAGATTGTAATTTAACATTAAAACAGAGTTTTGACAAAAAAATTAAAATGGCAATTGTGCATTCAACGGTGAAATAATCAGACACTTTAGAATTCTGTCTGTTTAGAATACAAAATTGAACTAAAAATTTAAATAGCTTATTGAAAAATTTTTTTAACTTCAGTTTTTTCTCAAAATTACTAAATAGATTATTTTATACACCAAAACAGTAAATCATAATTTGGCGAGTAGCTACACCTGTTCAGAACAATCTGTAAATATATTACTGAGAATGATATTATCATTGATATCCGCTTATCAGAAGATAATCCCTATTCGTCAAGATTACAATTTTCCTCTCTCTCTCTCTTTTTAATCCATACTTAACTCGTACTTTTCAATGCAATTTAATCTCGAATTAGCCAATAATAAGTTGCTTAAAATTGAATTGAAACTTTTGATTAAGATGACTCTGTTAAACCTAATTTTTTAAAACATATTTGAAAGAACAACAACATATTTCTTAATTGTGTATCAATTTGTGCATTTTAGTTATGAGTATTTTCAATAGCAAATTTATGCATCCAGAATCAATGCATTATTATTAATTAGTGATTAAATTGAATTGTGCAAAAACATCACAGTATATATAATATTAACACTAAGAATGAGCTATAAGTTATTGGTAATAGCATTCCCGTAACAGCCCTTTCTAGACCTGGGGGTCATGGAGATTAAGTGACCAAAATTTCGTTACAAACAGCATTATAATGGCAATATAATCAGCATTGCGTAACGACCACTTTAACTTCTCACATAAGCTGACACCCTACGGATCTGAAGCTGGATGGGTTTCAAGCCGCCAACAGGGATCAAATTCAAGCTCTTCACAATGACAGCTCAGTGTCTTAACCGCTGTGCTATCACGGCGTGGTTATTTTTTTTTAAATTTTATAATCGTCGTTGAACAGCCGACCCAATTTTTTGGGGTTTGCGACTACTAATGTTCAACTCCGTAGCATTGTAATTTTGAACCCAATCCAGAAGACAAGGTAACTCCAGAATCAAGTATTGGGAGAAATTTGCCTTCGTGGAGGACTTTAGTGATGGAACTTACCCGCTTGACCCGCTAACCGGAAGACCTCGAGAATATCCCACGGTTAGCTTGACGCGAAAGGGATACTAACTCATGATCCGTCTACCACTGAGGATATTTTACATCAGCACTGCGGTCGGTGCAAGCCGGATGCGGAATTCGTATCAACCAGACGTCGCTGGGATTCGAACACGGTTCACCTCATTGGAAGGCGAACGCTCTATCCTCTGTGCCATCACGTCTTGCGGCGCGGTTTTTATGAACATTCATATTTGATTTGGTGATTGTTCGAAAATATTTAGTAAATTTTATTATTTCTCACTTACTTCAACAAATGTGGAATGCTGAAGGAAATATTTTTGCCAAATATCATTATTTCTCACTTACACTGGCAATTATCGATATTCTGTCTGCTTTACTGAAAGAAAATAATGTCGTATAAATAATATCGTAAAAAGAAAATAATGTGAAAGAAATTTTTTTGTATGCATTCATCGCTGAATATCAACATTCACCGGTGAAAATTGACTTATACGGAATATCGGACATTCACTTCAACCTATACATCCTTACAAGTACGAAACCAATATTAATTCTTCATTTTGATTTTTTTAAATGCATATATTGACAATATAAAAAAAAAATTATTAACTATAAGAATTTAAAATCGAAAAAATATTTTTAGATTTTTATTTTTATTACTATTTTTGGCAATTTTTTATTTTTATTTTCAATTTCGAGAATTGAAGAAATATAAAAAGGAATACAAAAACGATAATAAATACAAGCAAATAAATAACGCAAAAACGATAATAAGCTTATCTTAAAACGTAGCGTAATTATGCAAAATCATAGAAATATGTTATAATAAAGAAACAACTCTTATCAGTTTTGAACTCAAAGTTTATAAAATAATCAAAAACGTTAATACCTTTAAATTTGAGATACAAAAATATTTTACACAAAAACAATACCTTTATGACTTTTGTTAGTTTTAAGCTGATAACAGCCAAAAAATATCAAACATGTGATTTTTCTGACCAATAAAAATATACCGACAACGATGCAAAACACCACACCATCATTAGATTTTTATGCATAGTTAGACATATGTATAATGATATGTCAGCTTAAAAAAATAAATTATTATTCAACAAATACGAGGGGAATGTTAACTGCTAAGATGGAATTCCTAATAAGAGTGTTTACTGCAAGGCTTGCTTATGTGCAGTGAAACAGATTGACAGACAGAGCAATGAAGTAGGGTATCATTTCTACGCAAATTAATTTTCGACAGAATGTGCCTCAGTAAGTTGGAAGTACACATTTTATTATTTCTTTTTTAATTTGTATTGTATAATATACATTCTGTAATCTGCTTTTAATTAATTTAAAGGCATAAACCTATGTTTTGTTGTTACATACCTGAGAAATATATATATATATATATTCATGCCGTTCTACTCAGAGCTAGCAAACCTTTTTTTATTTGTTTTCAAGTTAAATAACCTTTCATTATTTTTGCTGCATTGTATTTTGCAACTATATTTGCTGATTATTTACTAACTTGCATCGAATGTAAATTGAATAAACAATATTTCAACAATAAACATGTAATAACCGGTCTAAAAACCATTTATTGTATGTTGTGTTGTTTTGTATTATAAAGTAGTGGTATGTTTAGAGTTAAAAATAGTTCAAATTAATATTAAGACAAGATTCGTAAAGACGTTATTGTGGGTCCGCAAGAAATTTGCCAATATGAGATTGTTTTTCTGAAAACTGATGATAATTTAGTGCACATGCTGACATGAATTTCCCAGTTTCAGTTATAACTGACGGAACATCTTAAAATTACTTTATACTAGTTTTTGCCTCTTACTCCATTCTGAAATCCCCTCTGATAGCTGCCAGTTTTGGAAATGCTATTTTTCCCTCGAAAATTTTTTCATAATAAAGAAAGCAAAAGTACCTGTTGCGTGCCACTAAAATACCTGTCATGTGGCACCTAGTGGTACACGTGTTATAGATTCGCCCATCTCTGAACTAAAAATTCGTAATCTCTGTGCTGCCCAAAGAAAAACAAAAATTAAAATTGCAAATTCTTATTTAATTGTTTATGATTTTTCTTTTTTAAATTTTTTTTTTTTTTTTGCTCTAGGTGGCTAAAATTGTTTTTGTTTTCTTCAGGTGGGGCAGGCACCTGCACTTTCGGACAAGATTACGCAAACTGACGCAGTACACTTCACTGAAGAAGATTTAGAAACGTTGCTAGAAGATGATGCGGAAGAACCTGAAATTACTGATGTCGAAACTCAAACCAATCCTGCTTTTCATCCTTTGGGAGGCGACAATGTCAAGGTTTTACTCAATGATATGTTTTTAATACAAGAGATTAATTTAAAATATGTCCAATTTTAAAAGAGTTTCGGAGATCATTAAATATGATTCTTGTCATACTATTGCCAGTGCAATCAAGTGCACAGTGGTGGCTCAAGGGATAGAGCGTTCGCCTTCCAATGACCACAGTCCACTAGCACCGACCACAGTGTTGACGTAAAATATTCTCAGTTGTAGACGGAACGTGGGTTAGAGTCCTCTTGTCGTCATTCTAATCGTGGAAGGTTTTCGTAGTTTCCCTCTCTATGTTACGCTAATGGGGGTTAGTTCCTTCACAAAGTCCTCGACGAAGGACAATTTCTCCCAATATTTTATCCAGGAGTTCCTTTGTCTTCAGGATTGGGTTCAAAATTACAAGGCTACGGAGTTGAGCATTAGAGATAATGGTCAAAATACTTTATTTGAACACAGCTATTTGAAATGAAGCGCAAATTTCTATCGCAGAATTAAGATTTTTCACGTTTTTAAATTACACTGGGGAACAAATTTTTGTTGCATTTATACAAATACCTTATCTTGCCTAATTTGGATGTAGGGATTTTAATTCTGAAGTTCTGAATTTTTGCTCATAAAGCCACAGATTTTTCTTTATTAAAAAATTGACATTTTTAGTCCATTTTTTGTCAAAATGTACAAGTTTAAAAACGTTATACGTAACAGGAGATCACGCAAGTGTTGCAACAAACTTCTGGGGGAGTTAAGGCACATCATCAGGACTAAAATCGCATAGAAACCCATGCCTTGAAATGCTGTCGTACGCGGCTAGCGGTGCTTCCCTATTATGACCTGTTCTGATGCACACGAGGAAACAGATCATAATAGGGAAGTGCTCCTAGCTGCGAATAACATTTCCGGGCTTGAGTTTCTATGCAATTAAAATCTGGATGATGTAACCCCTAACTCCGCTAGACGTTTTCGCAACTTTTAATTAATCCCTTGTTATGACGTACCTTGTAATTCATTGAACGTACCTCGAAATTGTTATAACCATGTTAATTGATTCCTCGTATATAACGTTTTTAAACTTGTACATTTTGACAAAAAATGTATTAAAAACGTCATTTAAAAAGAAACTGTAGCTTGAAGAGAGATTGCAGATTAGAAATCAGCGACGCAAATATCGATTAAATTATCTCCTGTAACTGAAAGAAACTGTTCAACAGTGGATAGTTTTTTGTGATATTGTTTGTTTGTAGTCTTAGCATATTTATTGCAATTATTAAATTTATTTCTATATTCAATTGTTTTAGAGTGTTTTGATGCAGACCGACAACGAGAAAAGTGGAAGTGTGAAATTCTACCAGAAGCGTCAGATTTTAGATACCCAAGAAATCAATATAATTACCATTGATATCGGAGTTCAAGCAGTTAAACCACTTAGTGACCACTGCACTCAGGTATTTATCGATCAACAATACTTTTAATCATTCATTTATTATACGTCCAGACATTGAAGAAAACATCTCAAACACAATTTGTGGTTTTTGATTCCTAATTGTGTTACAAGCTAACGCCATTTCAAAATGTCAAAAACTTAAGATTACTCATTCGACAGCAAAGTTCAACAAAGAGTTTAAAAATAAAGTATAAATTTGCACCAATATATCAGCCATTAAATTTTGGAAGAAAGCATGTCGCTTCTGTGTTCAAAATGTGATTTAGTGGTAAACTATGTCAAATTTTAACTCCTTCTCTGTCGGAATTTTTTTTTTTTTTTTGAACTTCCGATCCAAAAAAATGCATTTTTTAATTGCTGAAAATAAATATATGCTCTATCCTAAATTTAAAAATGCAAAATCTTTCTGTCAGAAAGCAGTTTTTTGCCTGACCTATTGATGGTAAAATATGAGATGTGCCGTTCACTGATCTCCAGTTTTCCGTGTAATGCACCCAAGTTTTGTCGTAAAAAAATACACTGCGATAACATATTTATTAACTCTATTGCTTTAAGGTGTTTAAGATAAATATCTGTACAAAATAATTGCTAAAATTAGATAAAGAAATATTTTGGAAAATAATTTTAATACTAAAAAAATAATTAATAATAATTAATTAATACTAATAATTAATTAATAAAAATTATTTTTAATACTGGTGAAATAAAATAATTTTAATACTAATGAATGATTTTAACACTAATGAAAGCAAAATTACAGAAAGTACAAAATGATTTTAATTCAAGGTGGGAAATCTCACTGCTAAAATTATGAAGTGGGACTAGTTGCGCCTTCTCGAAGCATTATTCAGAATTACAAAAATAATCGTGGGATATAAAGAGACTGAATTAAATTTTAATAATGCAATTTTTCTCTTCGTTGCATGGCATGTGACGCCAACCATACGTGCGCAAAAACGTATGAAATACGACGCCCACACAGATATCCCTAAAGCAGTTCATTGAGTGTCGAATGAGGTTTTTATTTTAACCATATGTTCTGTTTAAGATTAGTATAGATTCATATTTTTTTTTTAATTATTTGAATTAATGACCTTCAAAAATAGGGATTAAATGCGGGATAATATGCCATCAATAATGTAATGAAGAAAGATGCTTAGTTTTGTTGATGATTAGTATTAACTTTTTTTTAATCTCCATATTTTTCAAAATTAGCCTTTGTAATTGCAACGTTGTTTAAGGTTGCTTCCCTTAAGCATTTCTTTTTCTTCATATAGTTAGTATTCAGCTTAAAAAGGTTTCTGAGTCATATATGTCTGAATCTTTAACATGGTGTAAGGGAATCTTATCTTTACAGGAAAAACACACTCTCATGGTTTACTGAATATATACAAGATTGTTCCGCGAACAACGCCCTTAAAATAATGATCGGAGTCAAAAATGAATTAAAAAAATATAAACTTTATTACTTGATTAAAAAATTGCATTTGTTTTTAAAAAAAATACAGATTAGAAATAACAGCGGACAAGTTTCAAGTGCTCAAAAGTAGGCACCCATTTTCAAGACTTGCCTTACTCTCAAAATTAATATCTTACCGCTTCAATTTCTTTGCATAATTTATTTAATATAAACTTTATTCTTTGAGAATTTTTGTTTAAGCAATTACAATGCGATATCAAAACTAGTGAATTATTAACGAATTAGGCATTATTAAAAAAACATCAGTTTTATTGCCAGAAGATAAATTGAAAGGCTATCAAAGAGATTGTTAGAAATATCTTCAAATTCCATTTGACAATCAAATTAGCTTTGATGCTTTAAGATCGGCTTCTTCAACGATGATTGTGATAATTTTGTTGCTTTTTAATTGCTTTCCTCTCAACCTCTTAATTTTTACTTCTGAAAAAATTTAATACCTTGCATATTATTGATCTTATGTTTCAGACGTATCGCATTTCTCTTATGGAGTTTGAAAGCGCGGGTTGGAGATTAGACTACACCTCAAAATTTGGAAAAAAATTAGGTATTGTTGCGAATCAGCGTTTATCAAAAATGTCTGATTTTGAATCACAAACGGATCCTGTTACGAGAGCCCTGGCAGCCAACGCTGCGGGAATCGAACCCAATGTTTTCTCATCAATGGATAGTATATCACCTATAGCTCATATACACAAAGAGCTTGGAACCTTCAAAACATCCCAAGTAAGAATAAATATTTTTTTTTGTTTTAAAAATTTATTTTACAATCTTGTTTATATTAAAGCTTTATTGAATGGTGCGATGGTGGACAAGTTTTACATTATCAAATCAATCATTTTACACTATCTTCCAGATTGCACTTGCCAAGGACATTAATTAACCTATATAAATAATGTCAACTGATTGTTTTCCTCAGAAAATTGTCCCTGGAAATCATCAATAAAATCCCTCCAAACGACATCAAAATATTCTCTGATGGCAGTAAAATGGATAGACAGACTGGCAGTGGGGTATTTATTGAAACACCTCGAGAGAACTACACTCTTCATCAACGAAACCCCGATTTCTGCTCCGTCTTTCGAAGCGAACTAATTGCAATCGACAGGGGACTAGAGAAAATCTTGAGTGAAGGGCACCTTGGAAATACTTGGATACTATCTGACAGCCGTAGTTCAATTCAACACCTCAAAAATTGGGCCCTCATTGGAGATAAAACCAGTTTTTCGATCTTACAAAAAGTAAAGCTCATTTCAAGTCCTCGACGAAGGACANAAGCAAAAAGACCAGGACTCTCTCTATCTCTCCCTGGTGACAGGCAAACCAACACCTGCCTATCCCGACTGGCCAGTGGACACCTGAAAAGTCTCAAATTTTCTGCAAATCAAAAGATCTTTCCTCTTTGCCCTAAATGCCAACAAAACCAGGCATCACCTGAGCACATCTTGATCTGTTTAGGGCTGGACTGGAACGATATTCATTCCTCTCCCATTCTGGTTTCTCAATATCAACGGATTCATTGATCTGGTCAGATGGGAATTAGCAACAAATAATGTAATAAGTAGGCGTATCTAATTTAATATTTAAATAATGATTGGGCTCAGAAAAGCAATTCGTAACTATTCGAGGGGACAAATCCTTCAACACCATTTTATTTATACTTTAACTACACATTTGACGAGATTTTTGGTCGAATCCTCGAGCTTTCTTCTAGCGCTTCAAATGCATACCGGGTAAAGGGGACGTTCAAAACTCGATCATTTTAAAAGAAACATTTAGTTCAAGTTTGTGTACAAATAATAGATAGCTTTAAAGTTATAGCTAAAAGTACAGTTTTTATTTGTTGGTAATTAAAAAGTTCCTTGCGAACGAATTTTAATTTTGTTCATTAAATTTATATCCAAATACACTGTTTATACGCATTTAAATAAATGTAAGTGGTTATGGTAAATGTATAAAAATATAACGTAAATAGGCGTTAAATTTTTATTTTGTTACCAAAAACTTCTTCAAAAAACGCTCTTTAATTAGGTTTTTTCAGTCATTAAAAAATTAAATTAACATATTGAGTTAATCAAATGCATTTAGAATTAAACAAGATACTTCAAAGAGCATCTAAATAATTTTCAATATCCATAAAACAAAAATTGGTGAGTAAGGAACTTTTTGAAGATGTGAGAACATTGAAAAATTTCTTTACGAGGAAAAGACAGCTTTGTCATCGAAACGTACATATTGATGTATGGACATTTATAAATTCACAAACTTATAACTCGGTAAAAAAAAAACGATTTGTTGCCTATTACTTAGTAAAGTGTAATTTTTCTTAATATCTCAAAAACCAATTAATGGATTTTTGGAGAATTTTTCTCATTTTGATCTTCTAGTATCCACTTAAGCAATATAATTTAATTTAAAAAGAACGCATTTATTTTCATTTGATACAAAATCTTCCCTAAATTAAATTATGAAAAATTATATTAAATTCATTGAATTGAGATAAGAAATCTCAAATTATGGGAAAAAAATTTACATGAAATTTATTAAAATGCAATGGGCAAATTATGGAAAACAATTGATGTGAAATTCTTTAAAATGAGAAATTAACTATTTTAGGTGTCAAAATCAGCCATTCACGAAAGTATTGCTCGACTTTTAGAGGATGTTGAAGATTCTATGCGAAGTGATTCAGAGTTTGAGGGTCGATTTCTAGGATATGGTGAGCCTTTAGTGATTAAATGTGATACAGGAATTCAAACAGATAATGATCCGATTACAGACGAAGCACCAGAATTTGCTGCTAGACCACCTCCTTGCAAGAAAAAAGAAATGATTCCGTGTATGTCTGTTTTCAAAGATGTTGATGAACGGGCGATAGAAGTACGCATCTCATTATATCTTTCATTATCATTTATTTGCCTTAAATAGTGTTCAACTATACAACACCAAATAGCTAATGTCCAAAATCAGACTAATAATTTTCAAAATTGTATAACAGGAAAACTTTTAAAAAGATCTAAGAAGTTTATTAAGAAGACCTAAATTTTTTCTCTCAATGGTTTTAATTTATTTCAACCGTTCGTGCTGTAGATCGTAAGCCTATAAATGTGTCAGAAAATATTCATTTTTGCATTCCATGGTAAACGTATAGTAATCTGACAACTATAAAAACAAAAGAATTTGTTTCTATAGGATCCTAATAGTATCGACTATCAAATCTCGTATGTAAAACGTAGACGCCATCTACTGATCCAAACTGAAATTACTTTCTTACCTGCCCAATAGAAAAAAGAAATTTATTGAATGATGTAATGACACGTAATGATGTCAACGTAATGATACAGAATTAATTACCAATGATGAAAGAAAGTCATGTAAAAATATGAATTATTGCCCAGGGAGATAGTAATCGCTATATTTAATTTCAATTACTTAGCTTAAATAATACGCATAAAAAATCCAGATCAGATTCAATTATCAAGGCAGTGAATGGTTCATCTGGAATTTATAAATGACGAATTGCTTGCCACTGTATCACGCATAAAAAAAGCAGATGGTAAAATCATTTCCCCCACTCACAATAACCTCCAACCGAAATTTTAAGGAACACATGTAATTGTAATTTTTGCAGAAAAAATTTGGTTTACTTTTTGTTTCATACTTTGTTGAAACATAGAGTAGAAATTGAATTTTGCTATCTTCATTTAATAAATTACCATAAAAATAATTTGTTAAAATAATTTAATATAATGTAAGACTTTAATAATTAAGGTTTAAAATGGATTACCCTTACAAATATTTAAGGTGTTTTTGAGGTTTATTTGAAGTTGTTTTGAGGCGTTAAGATTGATTTGAGGTTCATTTGAAGTTGACTACAAAACAACCTTTAAAAACCAACCTTCCAAGGATTAATCAAGGTGTATGAAGTTGTTTTATTCGCACTTGAGGTAGTTTTGAGGTTGATAGAAATTTACCTTAGAGCAACCATCTTATAGAGAATGTTTTTGAGGTGAACAGGTTATTTTCTCTGCACATCAAGCAAGAAAATATAATTCTGGTGTGAATAATTTCGTCCAATTTTAACTAAAAGTATTGCTGAACAGTATTTAAGATTGATTTTATGAGGTGTAAATGAGCTTGAAGTTGAGGATGAGGTTATTTTTGGTGCAAAACATAAGCTCATTTTCTACCTTAGGTATATTTTTTTCACCTACCAACCTCAAATTAACCTCAAAAGTACCTTTTTTTCTAAGATATTTAAACCTATTATTTCTTTAAACCTATTATTTCCTTTATTTACGACCTAAAGTGCGTTAACGCACCATTTCAATAAATATTTTTATTAATACTGTGATATATATTTTTCACTTAATTTTTTTTATACTATTTTGAAGGATTCTGAAGAAATAGATAAAATATTAGTAATTTAATTGAAAAAAATACACTATTTCTGTTGAGAAATTTTTAAAATACACTAGTTTTGTTTAACTTGAAGTGATTATTGATATATTCGACTTATTAATATATTCGACTTTTTTATTGATATATTCGACTTTTCTTTTATAATTATCCCACTTGAACTTAGTCATATGTTTTTATTATATATTAAAGGGTATGTTCTGTAAATGAAATTACCATTTTATTCACCATTACGATTTATGTACCATTTCATTTCATAAATGAAGCATTATATTTCATACACAAAACTTTATTGTGTCTTAATGAATGTAATTTAATTTATGTAATTTAAATTAATACCACATTTTATAAAAGTTCTATGCTTGGAATAAAGTAGAATCTAGTATTTTCAATGTGAACTATCACGTGCAAGACATAGTTCGATTTTTCCAAGTTTTCCAGACGTGCTTTACTAATGGCAAGTTTAAAAAATAGTTGCAATATTTATAAATAGTTGCAAAATTAAAAAATAGTTGCAATACTTCAATATTACAAAAAATACTGCAAGATATTTGCAAACGTATGCAGTTTATGAAAATAAATTCAATAGTTTAATATTTCTATTTATTTCAGAAAATACATTCATGCAATTTTAGCTCCTTACTGCACATAACGTTTGTTTTAATTGTTGAAAATAATATTTTTTCAGATTTCAGAAAGAGACAGTCTCAAAAAAATAAATATTCAAACGCATTTCATGAAAATTACTTAAAATTTCATTTTCTTTAAATATTAAAACTACATTAAAACACATTTAATTGAAAAAACGCTCTAAAAATGTCCCGCGCGTAGCTTGCAATGACTTATTTGCTTATAACTGTAGCATTTCAGTAGCTAGTAGATAGTTTAGATTCGTCAAAAGCAGAAACATTTTATAAAATTAAATATTTTAAAGTATTTAACCTTTTTGTCTAAAATTTACTCTAAATGAAAGAAAGTTATTAAAAATTGAAAAACTAAGGTTTACTTTTAAAGAAATGTTGCAATTTAAATTTCGTACCAAAAATTTAAGTACTTTAATCAAAACATACAGAAAAGAGAAAAATTTAAGAAAAAAATATTTGAAAAAATTCATAAAAATATCTTCTGTTTAAAAAAAAAATAAATAAAAATATTTTAAATTTCTAACCCTATTTATTTGCGGTAATTGACAAATGTCTGGCTTAAGTTTAAATAGGTTTAGAGGAGACTAATATAAAAGGATTCTCAATACAATACTTGTCTGGAAAGTCCAAGAGTCTCATGGGTGTCTCCAGGCAAGTAAAGAAAATTAGTCATTGCAAGAAAATTAGATATTTCTGATGGATCAAGTGATGAGTTAGTCACACTCCACTATCTTCAATTGGCGTTTCCTGACACGCATTCTTCCACGAATCCTTTTAAACACGCTCCTTTAAATTTTGGCCAGACATTTTCCGATATCATGAATAAAATTTGCTCTAAGTAAAGATGAGCTATCAATTTTTTTACCACTATACTTTTACTTTATCAAAAGATGTTATTGCATAAATTTTTAACCGAAACTTCAGGTCCATCAGTCACATTTTAAATCTTTTAGTGACTAATTTTCTATTATGTGATTTAGACACCTGATGCAGCAACTGTGAATGTTCGACGACTTGTCAAATATCTAACAGCAGACTGTGAAAATGATATTTATGTGGTGAGGTCTTTTTTTCGATGGATTTCAGAAAATATCACGTAAGCCACATGTTATACACATACTTTGTTGATGATTCCTTTTTACTTTTATCTATTATTTAATGCTTGAGATATTTAAGGTACTAGTTGTAAAAAGATTATAAAATTACGTTCAAAAGATTGAAAAAAAATGTCGTGGTTTAAGGAGAATGCTTCTGGAAGAGCAATTTTAATAATGCGACTTCTATAGGCTTACGATCTTACTTAACATCTTGTAGAATATAGCAATCAGTAAGTTATTAAAATATCATTAAATTTTTAATAATAATTCTCTAGAAGAAAAGAAAATTAGATTAAAAACATATTCTTTCGATTATGAAAATTATTCTGTGATCTGTCACTATAAAAAAACAACTTCACTGTAAAAAAAAATACTCAAAATATAAAAAAAGTGAAAAGTGAAGTTCGTGAAATTAAGAAAAAGTAACTGTAGATAGAAAGAATACAAAATATATGATAAATTTATAGGAAAAACATTTTGTACATTGCTTAAAAATAAAAATTATTATAAATTATATTGATCGCATTGGAAATTGTAAGGAGAATTTGACAATACTAAAATAAATACAATGCAGCAAGAATTTCAAAATTCTGTTTAAGACAACAAAAATTCATGTTTTAAAAATCGTATGCTTTCAGGAAAAAATTGAATATGTTGAAACATAATATCGTGCGAATGTGCTGCTAACCTTAAAATGCGAGCTTAATTCGGTCCAATTTAAGCGAGCAGATCAAAGTTAAACGGTTCAGAAAATAAACTCGATTTTTTTTCCCTGTTAGATGGCAATCCAAATTATGTCAATCACCATACAGTTATCTCGAGTTAAAAGATTTCATCTGTCAAATGTTTTCTTTCAAGAAACACCGTTTTGTTTATCAACAAAAAAAGACGAATATTCTAATTGGAGTACTGTTTTGGGTCAAAAGTCTTATTCTAGGTCTATTCTATTCTAAAGTCTAGGTCTAAAATCAATGTAGAGTTTCGAAAAAAATATCCTGGTGCAGCGTCAGTGCTCAATAACTAATATGATTAGCTCACCGTTTCAGCCAACTGGGCTATAAGCTGATAAAAAGGAAGGCTATTGGAATGCCTTCCGATTTAGACAGTGAAAAATTAAAAGAATATGAACGATTACCGAAAAAAAGCAAGACGAAGAAAATAACAATATTTTCAAAAATAGTGGCATTTTCAATTTGAACCAAAAAAATGGTATTTTGAAATCTTTATTGTAACACCAGAAGTTTGTCTTAGAAAATCTGGTAAAAATGAATGCGTTTTGGTATTTACAAGAGAGACATTTCGAACATCTGTAGCAACATCGAAAGTTTTTCAGCTGAAAATAAACGACCACATTTAAACGAATTTCTGTGATATAACTTTCGCTTAAATTTACAAACTGGTACTTTTACAGACCGTTTAAATTTGATGTGTGTGATTGTAATCAAATTTAGTGCACAAATGTGTTAATGAGGATTGACACGTACAATGAGCAAAATAAACTACCTTCTGATCTAATGATAGAATCTTCTCTTTTAATAGCTCAAGGGGATGACCTTCCAAAATAATTGCTGCATGCGATGTTTTAAATTAAGATACAGAAACGTATCTTTCAAAGAAATTACCTTTTCTTCAACTACCCCGGGAAAAGTATCTGGGAAATATGATTGGTCAGGAGAGTGGTTTGGACCCCTTAATGTAATTTTAATTTTTGCGTACATCTAAAGAACATTTTAATCTAATCTTTTTGCACACAATTATGAAACCTGCTTATTCAAAGAAAATTCTATGGAAAGTATAATTTATAGAAAATATTAATAATTTTTTATTATTTTATTTAATAACAGTAGATAAATTTTCGAATTGTAAGGTCTAAAATATTTTACATCACTCTAAGGAATGTAAATTTGAGTGGCAAAATACGAGCAAAATCAATCTATTCCTGAAAAGACGAATTTCAAAATTTGATTTTTTAAGAACTACTCAACCGCTCCATTTTTGTATTTTGCCAATTAAAATTGTAATCCTTAAAATGATATAAAAAGTTGTATACTTTACAATTAAAAACGGTTGTTTTTAAATAAAATAATTAAAAATAATAAATAAGTGTTATATTTTGCATGGTATTATCTTTGGAAAAAGGAATTTTATAATTGTGTGCAAAAATGTTCGCTTGAAAAGTTGTCGAGGTATGGCAAAAAATAAAATTAACATTAAGGGATCACCAAACTCAGATTGAGCTAACCCTTATATCTTGGGGGTCAGCCGAAAAAAAGCTATGTTTATTCAGATTTCTGTGTTTGATTTCGTAACCTAAAATATCGTCTGTACAAATTAATTAGCATATTTGAGGTCATCTCCTCGAACCCTTAAGATAGAATCCTAAAACGAGAAGATCTAACCATTAGATGAAAAGTTTTTCATTGTTCGGTCTTCTTTTGCGGTTCTTATTCTATTGACCAATCTATTAAGTATCTAGGCAAAGGTTCCATTTAAATATCTAAAACAGTATTAAGTATCTAAAATGAATTAACTTGTAAGGTAAGGCTATTTTTTGTTACTAGATATGATTGGAGGTATATGGATATTAAACTATCTGCAGAAGAGGTTCTTCAAAGACGAGAAGGTGTTTGTAAAGATTACTGCAAGCTTTTTTCAGAAATGTGTAGGTAAGTCTCACTTAGGTATTTTATTCACTCTGGATTTCAAAATACTCCAAAATCATTATTTCTCTAAATGTTTAAAAAAGGAAATTATTAGTAGCATTTATTACTGTTGATTTAGGTAGTAGATTAATTAATATGACCTTCATAGGATGTTCAGAAGTACTGATTTTCCATTTTGTTTTTCGTTATTTTTACAAAAAAGTACACTATAATAACTAAAAGCGAAAAAAAAATTCAAAATAAAACAAATAAGTCCATTATTGAAGAGTAATGTGGATGAAATGGTTTAAAAGACATTTTTTGAAGAAATAATAAATTAAAAAAACTGAGTTTTATTAATTAGCATTTTAACCTTGTTTAACAAAGTATTTTTATTTTGCTAAGTCTTTTTATTCCGAAGACTTTGGAAGAACAATCCAAATGATCCCTCTGAGAGTTTCTAAGAGTGAAAAAATGATCCAAGTGCAATTAGCAATAAAAAAAATTACAAATCACCTTAGAAAACGTGCCTTTTTTTTCTTCAAATTAATCAGTAGACAAAAAGCAAACATCATGAGAATTTTTCTCTAATAGGTATATAAGTATTTAGCATTCCTTCTACCTATCACTCAAAATGGTAGCAACTCTTATAAACTTCAGATAATATTTGGATAAACAAATCCCTGAAGTATTTTCTGGTCCTAACAAATCTCATTCCTTCGTTCTAGAGTAGATTAAAAAAATAAAGATTCAATGAAATAATTTTTAAAAAAAAATTGCGCCTTTTTATTACAAACCTTATCGATCGACAAGAAATCAAAAGATTTCGAGATCTAGTTTTTCCCTTTTAATTTTTCCTTTTCACACTAATGATTTTTCGTTTTTCTTATTACTTTTTTATTAAATTTTATTGAGAATTATTTATGCAATTTTACCTAATGGAACACGTGTTTGAGAGCGGAACAATTTATTACTTAAATGCTATAAGGAAATGTGGTTTTCTCACTACTAAATATACTTAATTATTGTAAATATATATACATTGTTATACATTATTGCATCCAAAATTGTATTCTAACGTTATTCAACTGTTATTCCAAATCATTAAGTACTTAATTTTTAAGATACGTATTATAAAATGTGATGTTTATCGACTTTTATGCTATGTATCAAATAATATTTATTCGCGTTTGTTTACAGATATTATTACTTGGCATCAGTTTACTTTTATGTTTTTTATAAATGCAATATTTGTTTTATTACATTTGTCACATTGATGCTTGTTTATTAATATCGAAATTATTTAATACATCATATATGTGCTATTAAAATAATTTATATGAAATTAGCATTAATTTATGTAAGTAAGCATAAAAACCCAAGCGAAAAAGCTTTCTTCACGATCTATGAACAATATATTATATAAATGTCAAATAAATAGGATGTTTCTGTTAAATTTGAAAAACTGTTCTTTTTTTATTCAAACTTTCAGTCTAAAATAAATTGTAGTGAAAAAGAAAATAATTTTATTGCCGTTTCTCTTCTCTTGACAATTTATACTTTGTTTTCTAACTCATGGTTAAAACTCATTTCTCCTAAAATTACAAACCTTCCATCTGTATAATATTTTCTGATTTGAATCTTTTTACTGTATGAGTCGTAATGATCATTAGATTTTATACTTAAAAGCTTTTACCATAATTGTTTTCGATGTCTCTTAAAATTATTTTCTTCTTTATTTGTCATTTTATAGGAATTCAACTTTTTTTTCTCACTAATTCTTTTATTGCGATGCTATTGTCTATTGGCAGACAAAACGAACCACCCTGAATAACTTTTGATCCTAATGATCAGAGTTTCACGTTCAATCTTTAATGGCTCAAGAGGTTGACCTCAAATATTGTAATTAAAAAAGATATTTAAAGACACAAAAATGAACATTCTCTGAATAAACATACTTTTTTTTCAATGGATTTGGATTTCTGACCCCCAAAATATAGGGGCTAGTCGCAATCTGAAATTATGTCCCAATAGTTTGGCCAGGAGAGTGCTTCAAAGTTTAGACTCCTAAATTTTAATTTAACTTTTTGCGTATTTCATCGTATTTCGAGAACTTCTTAATAGATTTGAAAACTTTTTGCACACAATTATACAATTCATTAATCAAAAGATACTTCCATGCAAAAAATAATCTATATTAAATATTTATTGCTTTTTTATTACTTTATTTAATAATGGTCGAAAAATGTAATTGTTTGGTATACATAATTTATCATTAGATATGTTTTCGCATGAATTCAAAGAAGATAATTTCACATGGCAAAATACAGAATTTGGGGCAAAATCGGTCGAACAGTTCCTGAGAAATTGAATTTTAAAAAAAGCAAATATTTAAAATTCGATTTCTCAGGAACTATTCGACCGTTTTGCTCAAATTTTCAAATTTTGCCATGTAAAATCATATTCTTTAAAATGACGCAAGAAATTGTGTACCTTACAATTCAAAATCCTTTTGACTATTATTAAATAAAATACTAAAATATAATAAATATTTACTAAAATTTAATTTTTGCATGAAATTGTCTTTGGACAAACGAGTTTTATAATTGTGTGAAAAAAAATTGCAATTAGCTTAAAAAGTTCTCATGATAATACGAAAAACTATTAACACTAAATGGTCCAAACTTTGGACCCTATTCCTGACCAAATTATTGGAACTATATTTCCCAGTAAAAGTTCTGAGGCAATTGTTGACCTAGGAGTTAAATAGTGAGCCTAAAAAGCTTATTGGAGATCCAAAGTGAGATGGAATAATTATTTTGCGTCAACAAATGTCATGTACAATTGCATAAATTAAAAAAAAAAGATATTTTTACATTATTTATCATTCAAACACGACAAGTTCATTGTTTAAAAAATGAATAAAAAATTTTTAAATTTTTGTAAAAAAAATTTTTTTTCTTACTAGTTTAATGATCAATCCATGTTTTTGGCATTGCTGTAATATCAACGCGCGTATTAAAAAATTAAATATTATTATTGAATTTGATTTTGCTAATTATTCATTTTATATCTATGGCAAAAACTGATCCAATGAAAAAAAGTGAGAAGCAAGATTTGACTCCAATATTGAAAGAATTGTAAGAAAACTTTCTTTTTAAAGGGTAGCAAGCATAAGGGTGAAAACATTGAATGGATTCGCTAAGGGTTATGATTATAGACCGGGCCATCAGTTCGTTCCTGGTGAGGATGTCACCCATGCCTGGAATGCTGTTTTTTTACTTGGAGCTTGGCGTTTTATCGACACTACTTGGGGAACTGGTAAGAATTACTTTTTTTTATTTCGGTCCATTCTACTATTTTGTTAAGTTTTTACTCAAATTAATTTTTTAAAATAATTATAAACAACTATTAAGATACCCATTCCACCCTAAATGTAAGAATCACCTTATACAAGCATAACAAGTGAACATTTTATAAGTTGCAAAAACGTTGCAAAACATTGTAACTTCCCTGTTGCAAAGAAGCGAGAACATTGCTGGAAAGATTGTTTTATGAGAGTTAATAGAAATAGAATGAATAGAATTGCAAGAACATAGAGATTTGCAAGAAGAATTGTTAAGAGAATTGCAAAAACATCGAGGTTGGAAAGACTTACGGAAAGAGATTATATCGAAGCAGGCTTTGAAAAATATAGCAACTTAATTGGGGATATGTGGTGCAGGGTAGAAGAAGGGGACGATATTTAAACAAAACTGGATTGGAGCTGGTATCAAGCAAAGCAACTTCCTGTTGTTGGAGTAGATTGGAAACTTATTCCAGTTATACAATTAAACACGTATACTGCATTTTGAACATTTGCTTCTGAAAATAAAATGTTCATTGAACATGTGCTATAACTAAAGCTTTGAGTATTTGATTTGTGAAATTTGTTTATCCGCATGGCCTTTTCAAACCGGGTGATCGAAATTTGAACCACTTCTTATAACTGTAGTTCGCATGGTCAACATAACCTACACATTAACATCCATCTACCAGAACAGACTATGTAAGTCAAAACATAGTAAATTTAATTATTACCACCCAACATCCCAAGCTGATCGTTGATTTCGAACTTCGAAAGAAAAAAACTTCCAATTTCACCCAAGAAGATCATAATCTTTTTCTTTTTGTTCTGAAACATTTGAGAAAAATCGTACAAAAGCTCAAAATAATCTATGTGACCTGTGTTTTGCTTTATACAAGATGGTATAATTTAAGCTGATGGTACTCCTATTTCCTGTTCTGCCGAACGGATCCGATCGATTCGATTTTATTTAGATCATAGAACCAAGGTTTCGTTTGAAAAACATGTTTACCACATTGCACTTCTAAAACTATATGGAAAAGCATATGCCGGATAACGGAGTCTGAACTAAATCCTTAAATTAGATGAGGATTTCATGGAAGATTTTAAAATAGCAACTCTGAGAGGTCTCTAGAGAGAGTAAATGTTGATCAAGTTCCTATATACTGTTTTAGTGAAAAGATGACATATTGTTTAGATGTTACGATCAATATAATTAATCGGTTAATATTATTAATCCCCAGTTATTATTAATACTAATAATTATCATTAATACTCTACCAATTAAGTTGATTAAACAGAATTATCTATCAGATATAGACAATACAGTTGTTTGTTTACTTTAGATGCAGACTCCCGCAATTTGTATGCTTTGTTCATCTGTTGTGCTAGAAGGTTTTGAATCTTTTTTTTTAAATTCGTTTTACGTTTTTTAAGACACTTAACGTTGATATACAGTATTGGGTTTTCTGGGCAAAGGTATACCGGGACTGGCAATTAACCTCAAAAAAACATCAGCGTAGGGTAAACTAGACAATGGCACACATTTCCTTTAATTACCCGATTATTTAAAATAATAAACAGTGATTATTATCATTAGCCGCATTCCATATACCAATATTTTTACTAATCTTTAGTAACGATCTTAAACTTGATGAGCTCATTACTTCAAAAAATATCATTCGTCAATGGATATTACGGTCAACAAAAAAATAAACTTCTAAAGCTAATAATTTAAATTAAAACATAAGTAAAAGTCCGCATGTTCATTTCATCTTTTGTTTATTTCATGTTGTTTATTTTCAACCGACATCTGTCATCGTTCATTTCATTTTTTCAATATAATCATTCAGGGATTTGATGGGACCATTTACTTTCTTTTGGGAAAATCCCCACATAGAGTTGTTATTTTAACATCTGCCATGATATCCTTAGGGATTTGATCAAATCTCCGTTTTCATTATTTCCCTGTGACGCATACATGCAATCACATGCACATCGCTGGACGAAAAAGTAAGCACACTGAAAACGCCGAGTGTAAGTGAATAAAATATTCTAGTATTATTCCTTGAAATTTAGGGCTGTTATCTATTTTTTCGCTGCATCATCTGATGGCGAAATTTCAAATTATTTTTTTCCGTGTATTCCCCATGATCTAAATAACAATTGTTTGAAGTTTCGTTCCAAAGAGTTTCGTTCAGCCAAACCGGTGCTACGAGTTTCTAAGTACCGTCAGTTTAATTTTAACCACCTTGCATCAAATTTTAATGTTACACTTGGTGCAATTTTCTTATTAGTGAAATAATAATTTCTTCGTTTTTAGGTTTTACAGATCATACCGGAAAATTTCAGCAGAAATTAAACGAACATTTCTTCCTAACGGACCCAGAGATAATGATTTGGACGCATTATCCGTATGATGAAATGGAAAATAACTATAGCAGGTATTGAAAAACTTACTCTTAGATTTTAACGAAGACTAGAAGATTTTGACGAAGATATTTTTAGATTTTAACGAGAGTGAAATAATTATTGAGAAAGATTATTGATCTCTAAATATTCATCCAAAGCACTTTAGCCAAATCAATATCAGCCAAAGCACTTTATTTAGGACGCTCTAGAGCTGCACAGTGGGCTAGTGGTAATGGAAGCATCCCTCATGATGATCCCTCAGTTTTGATCCTCTGCAGAGGGGATCTTATTTGTGAGGTCGTTGGGCTAACAAAGATATCCTGCCCGCAGAGGATTTTGATGGCATGTCTTCCTAAGGACCAGACACTCGCCAATAGCACATTGTGAGACGTGATGGCTCAGGGAATATAGCGTTTGCCTTCCAATGGGGCGAACCGGGTTCGAATCCCAGTCAATTCCGCATCCGTCTTGCACCGACCACAGTGCTGCAGTGAATTATCCTCAGTGGTAGGCGGATCACTGGTCAGAGTCCCCTTGCCGTCAGGCTAACAGTAGAAGGTTCTCGTGGTCTTCCTCTCCATGTAACGCAAATACTAGTTTGCTCCACGAAGGCAAATTTCTCTTAATACTCGATCCAGGAGTTCCCTTGTCTTCTGGATTGGGTTCAAAATTACAAGGCTACGGAGTTGAACATTAGTAGTCGTAAACCCAAAATTGGGTCTGCTGTTCAATGATGGTTATTAAATAGCCCATTGTGCAGCTCTAGTGCGACGTAATTAAACCACTACAACTGAATAATGAGACAAAAATTTAAAAACTGAGGACAGAAAAAAAAATTCATAACAATATAAAATAGTTTAAATAAGTATGTCTAATTAGTGTCATATCATTAATATTACAGTATATGAATTCAGAATGATGGCAAAGATTTCTATCACTTGAAAATAAATTTTAATTATAAAATAATATAAATACATATAATTCTGTTTTTAGTTGCTCATTATGAATCTGAAATAGACCAATCAATGATTAAAACTACAATTAATGTTGTTATTAAACATTACCAACTCCTTTCTATGGCTGTTTTATTACTACGTAAGTATATTTTTGGAAATTTTGGATTCCCCATTTTCGCTAAAAAAAGAAGAAAAAAAAAGTAAATCATAGATGTCTATAAATGCTTAGAGGAGAAAATCGCAACACCTCCTTGTTTATGCTTTACCTTTGAATACGCAATTCTTTTCAATATCAAAGAAAATTATGAATTCCCAACTCATGTGCTATCCTGATAATAGAGAAAGAATATATTTCTCTATGGCGCTTTATTTTACAAAACATTTTTGATCATTCATACCGAGTGAAGTTAATACAAAATATATATCCCCATAATATTTGAATAAACTTCCCAAGGTGTTGAATTTAAACGGAAGGACCTTAGTTAATAGGTGCTGCAATGTGTGCAGCATGTGATTTGGAAGAAAAGTAAGGATAATTAAGGAGAAATCAAAGAACAACGAAACAAACAAGCAAAGAATAATGACATTGCTTGAATTAACTGTTTTTATTTTAAGTAAATACATGTTATTTTACAGGCCAACACAAGTATTGTAGATATTAAAAATAGAACTATTTTCGATGAAAAGAAAGCCTTTCTGTTTGATAACAAGGTTTGACTGTATTTGCTAAATAATTTTATACAATTGTTTTTCAGCATTTTATTATTTGACAGGTGGCAGCTTCTTGATGTAATCGTAAGCTTGGATGAATTTAACGCTTTACCTAAAGTGTCTCCTTACTTCTTTGATTACAACATGAAAATAAGATCTCGGCCACAAAATCCTGTTATTTTTAAAGTAAGTTGCTTCAAAATATGATTACAGGTTTGAATTTTGCTGAAAATCAAAACTTCATATCACTAAATTTGCTTAAGTCACACTATTTTGAGAAAAAAATTTCAACTTTATAATAGCTTCAGCTGTGTAATCCATTGAAAAATTATGAGACCTCTTTAGTTCGGATTATTTTGAAATAAATAGTGGTTTAATTTAAACTTATGGGGTCTGTTTTTAACAGATTTTAAATATTACAAAACATAAAAAATCAAAAATTACAGTTAATAAGGCACTTGACTCAAAATAGGAAAAAGTGTGAAACGATAAGATATTGGTACGCCAATTTTACTGATAACACTCTATTACTAAAATGGTTGGAGGAATAATTTTTCAGTATGCATTACTGGATCATGACATCGGTATCATACCTGTATTATTTTCAAAGAACATTGAAATGTCCTGTTAGATTCACCTTAATAAAAGTCAGAATGATTTAGTACAGATTTGTAATATACTAGATCGAAATTCTTGGCAAATTGCACAATTCATCACCAAGCAAATACTAAATCCATTTATAGACTGGTGTATTCTTTCAGCCTTCGGATCATAAAATCGTGAAAAGACGTTTGTAATCATTGATACTGCCATAATTAAATATTTTTCACCACAAATTATTCTCCATGACGTTTAAAAAATTTTTTACCTCTGTTTTTTCTCGCCTAACTAATAATTTGCGAATCCAAACGTATATATTTCCTTTTTTGAGAGGTGCCTAAAACTATATATTGAGGGTGGTCTTTCCGGAACACCCTGCATTTAAAGTGTGTTTGTTAAACCAATCATGCTACTGTTTATGATTTAAAGTCCAATATTAGGTCATAAATTCAGAGTGATTCATTTTTTACCGGATAAAATCCCCCAATAAACTGACAAATCACCTGTCTGAGATATAAGAAAATCTTTATCTTTATTAGGTTCACAAAGAAGTTAAAATTGCAGCTCATGAACCAATGAGATGGAAGTACAAACTATATCCAGCGGATGAAATTGAAAATGCTTCGCTTAATAATTACGTTTTTTGCCAACTCAAAGAAGACAGACTGGTTGGATCTTTTGCTGTTACACCTCCTGTTGAAGGACGTTACTATTTCAAAGTATATTTAACTCTTCATTTACTTTAAATTAAAATTAGGTTAAGAAAATTAGCTAAGAATATTTGATAAATATAAATAACTAGTATTTGCATACGACTTTTCAAATACCAGCGTCTTCCTCGAAAATGAAGTATATCTATTGATGCCATCACTAAATAAATAATTTATCACTAAATAATTACGCGTTTTATATGATGAATAAACAAAAGAGCTACAAAAAAAAATGCAGCGTGGGTTTGATAAATTTAATACAGCGTGATTTTATAAATTTAAATAGCTGATATTTTCGAACGACTTCGTACAGTGATAAAAAAATGCAGCGTGATATGTTAAATTTAATACAGCGTAAAAATACAGCGTGGGTTTGATAAATTTAAATAACTGATATTTGCAATACTTCTTCGAAAAGGAATTCTGCCCGTAATTTTTCACTAAATATTTACGTGTTTTTTGTGGTGAATAAAAAAACTTTTTATTTTATTTATTTACACAAAATCGTAAGTTAGATTGAAAAATAATTGTTCCGCACTAAGTTTTTCCCGTTTCCTAGTAAATAGTCATTGAAGTAGTCTCGGAAAAATATTCACATTCAGAAGTTCAGTGATAAACTTTCTCTCAGAGGTTGAATGAAATTCTTTGTCCAATAAAGCTTTCGGTAGTTTCCACACCAATAAGAGTTTTGACAATGTTCAAATTTAACGGCGGCCATTTTGTAGGAAAAAAAACTATCGTTTGCAAATTTTGATAGTCTTTTTCGTGGCTAAGTTAGACATAAAAAATAATTGTTCTACGCAAAAAATTAATTAAGTTACAGGAGTTTTTCGAAATTTCATAGTTAGCGGCAGTCATTTTGAAAAAATATCCACTTCTGTTAATCTGATTTTGGTAGACTTTTATTCTCTAGATTCATTCCTAGATAAACTAAAAACACCTCACAATCATTTTTTTGAAACTTGTTTTACCTCCTATGATAATGACCGGTCTGTATAGGCTATTGGTTGCGACAGCTGAGATAGCATGAAAAGCCGAGATGGAAGGATCGAGTATTGGATCGAAGACCGAAGGTAGGAGGACGAACCGGAATAGTTCCTGCGCGGATGAATACCGGCGGAGGAGCACAACCGGCGGCCAAGACAGGGAGTGAAGAGGCTGATGTCCAGTACTTAAGGAGATGACAGTTTGCCTTCGAGAGGTATCACTCCAGTTCCTGAGATTACTACTCCAGTGCCCGAGATTGCCTCCACCCCTGCGGAAGAAAAAATGGAACACAGTGTCGGGCCTCGGACTCTGAAAATATCATCGAGCCTCCAGCGAAAAAGAGGAAGAAGAAGCAAGCCAAATCAACAAAGCCGAAAACCAGCTCTCCTGCCTCTGCCCCCCCCACCACAGCCGGAGAAAACATCTGAGACTTCGAAGACACCCACTCAAGTCCCAGGGACTGCACCTACTGCTGAGAAAGTTCTTCCACTCAAGAATGAAAAAGTGCTCTTCCGAGGACTCCCAGATGATTTTAGCATCGATGAGATTTCCCTTGAATTGGGGACATCGAAGTCAACAAAATAGTGCAGTTCAAGAAGAAAGTGGGAGGAGCCAATAGGCCACTCCTCCTCTACGTCGTAGTCACTCCTCTGCTGGCCAATCAGACAAAGATCTACCACGCTGAAAGAATAAAGCAGTTCCCGATCGTCGTAGAGAAGTACCGAGGTGGAAGGAGACCGATCCAGAGATTCAAATGTCAGAACTATGGCCACACACAAAGTAGCTGCAAAAAGGAAGCCAGATGTATGAAATGCGCCGAAGGGCACTATTCGTACCAATGCAAAAAAAAACCCAGAGAGACCCCGGACAAGTGCTGCAATTGCCTGAAAGCACACACATCGAACTTTACTGGATGCGAGGCCCGCCCCAGTAAGAGAACATCTAATGCACATCGTCTCGTCAGCCTCATAAAAGAACTTCAAGAGTTGCTGAGAGACCAAGAAACGCTCAATCTGCTCACGACCATGATCAAGGGGTCTTGCCCTCCCAACTGATGCACCACTGCCTCCAACCCATGTCTTACTCATTCAAAGACTTTTACCTGAACTTTTTAGTTTCAAACATTGACTAACTTAGGACTTTTTAGTTTTATGTCATCATAGTTTCGATGAATCGGTTGGAAGCGCTTAATGCCGAGATTACACCTATTTCCAGCCTTTGAGAGGGTCGTTGTGTAGCGTCCGAGACTTCGTACCGATATTCCGTTTCTAACCGGTGACGCCCACCTGCAGTATGAGATGTTTACGTTTAAGTTTTAATTATTCTTTTAATAACAACTTTTAAATGTTTTTAACGAATAACCCGTTAATTGGAGTTAGTGAGTTTCTTGATGGTTTGTTATCTTTTACTATTAAAGAGGATGTTTCATTGCCATATTGTTTCATTTGACGTCTTACATTCCCATCACCGAAACTTATACACGGTCTATAAAGCAAACTCGAAGAATTATTGAGTAAATAAATGTTTTTTTCACCCCTGAAAAATTTATAATTTTTAAGAGTAAATCTTATAGAGAAATTGTGAGCTAAACACAGTTTCTACCAAACAATGCAAAAAAAATTCAGTTTTTAGGATTAAATTTTTTTTTCTGAGTTTAATTATTTGCCCCTTACTAATTGTTTGACTTATTGTACAATATTTATTAAACTAATCCATTGATGTCCTCCCCATCTTATCATGAATCAAAAAAATATGTGCATGGCAGCTGATAACGGTGAAGCTAAAATTTCATTCACAGTAAGTATTTTAGAGGAAACTTGTAATTCACTCTATTGGCAGGAATTGGCATAAATTATTGAAAACAAGTTTTCTACAACTTATGCCAATACTTTAAAAAATTTTTTAACAATTTCGAAAATTCCTTCTGTTTGCTGAGACAATTTTTACGAATTTTTTCATTATAAATTCTAGATGCTTAAAAATAAAACAAAGTTTTATTTGGATGATTGTTTGATACCATCCTTAAATATTCATAGTACTTACATTATTTTCTATGTGAAGTATTTTTAGAAAAAATAATATAGCGTTTGGATGAAAATCCAAATGTAAGGATCAAAACAGTGCTATAATTTTAACAGAAAATATATATTTTTAATCCAGTTTTAATTAATTTTGTAAATATTTTACTAAGTTTGACTGAAGTATTTTTGCAACAAAATACCATATTTTTTTTTTTTTTTTTGCATGAAATAGCGAACTGTCCGAATCGCGTAAGGATTGCCAGGCAAATATTTGTTTTCACGAATTATTATTTAAAATTCTCTGATGTCATAAAATTCAATTAAAAGCTTATTATGCTAAATAGAAAGATAACTTTCATTATTATTTGGTGTTTAATAGTGCCACCAAACTCAATTGGCATTAGCATTATTGCTTTCACACTCTTAGCAGAAAAATAATAAGTCAGTACTTTCAACTTTTTAACCCTTAAAATAATTTTACAAATACTTCAAAATATTTTTTTATGATTCGATATATTCCTGCGACAAAATGCCATTTTATTTCACATGAAATAGCGAACTGTCCAAATCACGTAAAGATTTCAACGCCTATTATTTTTCCAGAAATTATTTAAGATAATCTGATGACTAAAAATGCAATTAAAAAAATTATTATGGCATTAATTATTTTAAATAGAAAGGTATTTTTCATAAGTTCTGATATTTAGTGTTCAATAGTGTTAACAAACTTAATTAGTATAATTATTCGCTTCAAATATATACGAAGTTGGAAATAACAATCGTCATGTTTCAAGTGCTTGAAAATGGGCGCCTGTTTTTAAGAGCTTAAAACATGTCGACTGTAATTTCCAATTTGTATATTTTGGAAATGAATGAAGCTTTTATCAGTTAATATCGTGCTGCTTGTTTCTTGAGATTATGTATTTAAACTGAATTAATGTTAACACTAGAAAGACTGAAATACCTATATTGCCCAAAAGCAGTCAAAATGACTGCATTGTGAAAGAATGTGTAAAGAAATTTGTTTAATTAATTTTTAATATTTTTTTTATTATTTACAGTTATGTAACAAGCTATTAGTAAATATTAACAATAAAAAAAATGTACTTCACTTGGAAAAAAAATGTATTCATTATTATTTGTACATTTTTTGCAAATGAAAAAGCAGTCAAAATGACTTCCTTGGGCAATCTAGTGTTTTAGAAGTGCCCAAATAAATAGTAAAATGTTGATTATTTTGTTTAGGTTTACGCCAAACCCGAAAGGGAAATGAAAGAAGAAACAAACCTGCACAATGTAGTTATATTTTTATTGGACTGTTTAGTAGCGAAAAAATATATTCAGCCTTTTCCACACAATGAAATGCCTTGGGGACCAACTCAATGTTTCTATGATTATCGTATGAAAATGATAAACCAAAGTGGACCTATGATTGTTACTTGGGGTGGGAAAAGAAAACTTATTCTTGAGGTAAAAGATGTGATGCTCATTACTTACCAATTATTGGATGTCGAAAGCATAGAAATGGACTCCAAAGATATCATTCGCCGAGAAGACAAAGAAAATCGCGTTAGTTTTACATTTACACCACTTCGTGTAGGTATGTACAAGTTCCTCATATTTGGAATGCCGAAACCAAAACAAAAAGGTAAATGGCGTTTACCTCTCTTAGCATCATACCTCATTGATTGTAAATTCACTCGACAAATTTATGATGAAGATTTTCCCCCACCACAAGTTAAAATACCAGAAAAAGAAGAACCACCAGAACCAGAGAAAAAGGACAAAAGAAAAATTAAAATTGCTTTTCTCCGGTGAAATCATTTTGTATAATAGCAACGATTATTTTATTATTATAAACTGGACTGTGCAATGTAATGCATAATAGAATCTGTTGGTAAGAAGAGCCTTTCAAAACTTCCGAAATAAATGAATTTTTTCTTTGTGAAAAAATTTCATTGCTTTTGAAGAGAGAAGATATAATTTTTTCAAATTTCTTTAAGTCTCTTTCATTCATTTTTTTCTGACACTCAAATTACAACCAAATATATATTTTTTTTATAAAGAACAGTCTAATAATTAGTAAAACTGATAGATTATCGGAATTATATCTGTACTAAAACATAAAATAAATAAAAAAGTTTTTTTTCTTCATTTATATTCAAAAATGTATCAATAATTGAAATTTTAATGATTTATAACTGTTTTTCTTAGATCTAAATAACTGCAAATAAGTGTAAAATTGAAAAATTATTGTTCGGAAGTTAGTGTTTGAAAGATTTTACCTTTAACAACAAAAAAAGACACCAGTGCCGTATTTTATACCCATAAACTATTAAAATGCTAAATACAAGATTTTTTTTATTTATTTTGACCTAAACTAATACAAAATTAATACAAAATAATGAAAAAAGTATGTATAATATAAAGCTCTTATTTTCTTTTTCTAAACTATAGCAGATAGTCTAATGATTCGTTGTAAAATAAAAGCAACCAGAAAATTTTTACAGAGGTTGCCCAGAAAATTTACTGTGGTAAGACATACTTAATATGCTTAATTTTGCTAGCATTTAAAAACTGTATTGATTTGATCAGGTTTTATTTGTTTAAATTGTTTGCACATATAGTGGTCCTTAAAATTGCTATTAATCAATTTTAAGACATACTACCACTTTTGACATTCAAGAAAAATTTCCCATTTGACCTGAAGAAGTTATTGAAACTTTTTCAGACTACTTTTGGCAAACTATTTGATTTTGATGTTTTTAATGCTGTCATTTTTTCAGTAGTGATTCATCTTTCTTTGCTTCAATATTAAATGTCATTCATTAATATGTCTTTGACTTCATTCTCAAAATATGCAAGGTGTTCTGTAAAGACCTCCCTTACTGCGTATTTTTAGTATATATGTCAAAACGAACATAAGTTAATGCATTGAGTACTGCAAAATAATAACCAAATAACCAAAACCAAATCAAAAATTATCCAAACTAATATAAACCAAAATTGGTAAAAACGGTCACCAAAACTTATTTGATTGCCTGTGGAGATAGAGAAAAGTTTAAAAACTATTATTAGAAACTCCAAGTTTTGAAAAGGAATGAAACGGGTTTTGATTCTAAAATCAGATGTCAAAAGCATTCTTGCATTTCCTGGTTAAAACATTAATTTATGACTCTAATAGATATACTTTGTCTCAATTTTTGACGAGAATTTATAAATATATGAAGGACTGTCTTTACAGAATACCTCTTGCAAGGAAACATCCATGCAGTATAAAAATGGGCGAATCAGCATGTGCAGCAGTGACAAAACAGCAGTATAAAAATGGGCATATTTTAGACAAAAAAAATTCAAATAGACAGTCTAAGTAAAAGAGGCTGTTTTTCAGAAAGAATTGTATATATTTTGTTTTACATCGACAATCAATGCAGAGGAACATATATTCCATAATTCATTTACTTCCTTTTCTGTTCCAGCTGTAATTGTTACTTCAAGTAAAAAAATACATTACTGTTCCATTCATTCTTTAAAAAAAATTATCTGCAGATTTTCAGTAATGCAGCATATTGACCCTTTGCGGTCGTCTCTCAGCCACCAACGCTTTTTTACCGTTCCAGTCGTCTCTCAGCCACCACAGCAGCGATGTCAGCCACAACTTAAGGGCAAACTGCAGAGATTGCGGCATTGTGAAGATTGTTCTGTATGATCAAAGAGAAAAGGCGGAAGACGCCAAACTAATTATTTTTGCGATGCATGTTCTCGAAAACCAGAGCTTCACATTGCTTTAAAAGATACCACACGATGGAGAACTATAAAATATAATTTTTACATGAAATTACAATATTATTGTGTTATATATATCTAAAGTTTAAAAAAAGAATTAATAAGTTTTATTTTTCCTTCATAATCTTGCATATTATCATATATTACTGTTCGTTCAACGTAAATTAATTCCGACCAGCAGGACACTCATGTATAAACTTAACACGACCGCAAAGGGTTACAATAAAAGTAATAGCAACTCTAAATTTTTTGTTACATGAAAAAAAAAATTATAATCTGTTTTTCTTGTAAACATAAAAAATTAAATATTAGCTCATTTTTAGAGACTTATATAAGCAAACTAAATAATTATTTAAAAATTCCAATGATTTTATTTTTTTTTTAAAATATTTATCAATTAATAAAAGAATATTGTTTTCCTCAAGTATTTTTTTTGCAAACTAATGATGTAAATAATAAAAAAATTTCGAAGAATAAAAATCGAATACGAATATTTGACATAAATAATACACAAATAGTTTTCTTTGGCATTAACATGGAGTTTTATTTGAAATCACTCAGCATTTCACAGGCATAATTTAATTAGCAACTAGCATTTAATTTAGAATTCCAGAAGTTGCGCCTCAACAGTAGTGAGCTCAACAGCAGAGAGTGTTTCTCTATCGAAAACATTAGGGAGATTAAAAATGTAAAATTATGTAACATAAATGAACGACAGCAATGTCTCCAAAATTTCGACTGCTACATTTCAGCACTAAAATTAAAAAAAACTTTTTGTATTAATAATGAATAATTCAATATAATATTCACTTCATGTTTCTGTTTTTATTCGTTTGTATTTACTTGTAGGAGGCTTAAATTTAGATTTTTATAATGAATAAAATTGAATAATCAGAATTAATATGATGTTTTAAGAAAAAAAGAACATTCTAAAATTCCATTTTTATAATAAATAAATAAATTGTAATTCCAAAAAGTAACAAATTAACTTACTTTTGAAAGTATAATGTCCCCCTTAAATGAATTTTCTGTGCAACCAAATGCGCCACAATAAATCATCATAATTTAAGAATTTTGGCTTTGAATTTCCAGCATCGATTTATTGAAATAATAAAGAAAATTGAAAAAACTCTCTCTCGATTCACCCTATAGTCACGTGGCTTCATTATGAGGACAAAATTTATCGTACTTTTCGCATTCTCTTATAATTCACCTCTATAGACTTGTTTGTGAGGAATTTGGATAAGAAAGAGTTATAGGAAAGTCTACAATCGATTGAACGTGCGTCAGATGATAGCTCGTAAACCTAGCCTCAAACGACTAAATACACAACAACAAAATTACAATTTAATGTAATTTCATAAGTTTTCTAATTTCTCTTCTTTTTTAAAAAAAAGAATATTTCATCGTTTTTATTCATTATTTTTCATAGCATTAAAACTTTCTTTGAAAAAAAACACAATTTCCCATATGTGGGCAAAATCGACATGTCTTCGAAGTCTGGCGCATGCTCAGATGCTTATTACGTTAAAAGAGCAATTTCTTCGACTTATTCTTTATTTGAGAGCTTAGTGGAAGCAGTTAGAACCGTAATAAATGAGTGGTTAATCAACACCTCCTAGAAGTATGAAGGCCTCAGCACGGATCAATTTTGTAGTCCGATGTGACGAAGTTAACTGCGCAGTTGATGAAAAATAAGAAAGATGTCATTACGTTCGGGGTACTAAGCTGCGCAGTGGTTGAAAATACGGCGTATGTCATTACGTTTGGACTACTAAATGATATTTATGGTAACCCGTGCAGAGGCCTACTCTTTTCTAGGAGGTGTTGGGTTAATGCACTGAGTTGTCATTGTGAAGAACTGGGGTTCGATTCCTGATGGTGGAAAGAAGCCCACTCAGTTTTAGATCGATGGATACCAAGCTTGTCTGGAATTTTCTTTTTTTCTTAATGGCAGGTACTGAACTTTTACGTTCTTCATTTGGGACGATGCCGGAAGTGTTGCTCATTTAACATTACCCAGTGGGCACCTGTGAGCCTAAGTCACACTGCCACAGATACCAGTTCATAAGGTGGGCCACATTCATAAACACAACAGAGGACAACACATAGAGAGAAACATTCATGCCCAGAGCGAGATTCGAACCCGCAGTCATTGGCTTCGCAGTCCGACACGCTAACAGCTTGGCCACCTGTCCAGCACTTGTCTGGAAAGTAAAGACGATCGATGCTCGGACCACATTGTTACCATCATGCCATTGGTCATGAAACTCGGAAGCCTTTACCTGCATGACAATCGTGTATCACAACAGTCCAGTCCTCGGGAATGCTTTATTTAGTGGAAGAAGTTATTCTGAAAGCACTAAAACTTTCAGGCTTAAAAGAATCTTATAGTCCAATTAACGTATCTATGAAAAAGGTGATTCTTGGATGGTTTGCAATCAAATTCCTTCAGAATTCGAATGTGCATAAAATCACTACTTGTCACTTAGAACCTTCTTTACTATAATCATACGTTCTATGGATCTTTTTAAAGACAAAGTTAAAATATGCAGGGTTTGTCCAAACAGTAACGCCACTGATTTGACTCTGAAGCAAATACACGTCGTAGCGTGCAAAGGCAGTCAACATAGTCGTTTCTGACTATTTGACAAGTAATGCTGTGAAACTCGTTTACTTACTTTAACTAACGCTTTAGTGAAACGAGTTTCACTAAAGCGTTAAAGTAAGTTTCATGCAGCACTCGATGAGTTATGTGAAAACACAATTGAACTTTTTGCATCGAACTTTGATATTTACCTGAATGCCTAATTGACACAATGCATTTTTTGAAAGTCATGAAGAGGTCGATGATGGAAGTTCATCAATGTTCGACAAAAATGTGGCTGAACTTTAAGTTTTCGGTCACTAAAATAAACATTACCTTCCAGAAAAATTCTACTATGATGCCTTCGATGTTTGGAAATATTGTTAGAAGCGGTTTACTGGGAACGAGCCTATTTTAAAAACTTAGAATGTTTTGGACCATTTTAATCAATTAGTGTTTCTAATCGACTCAGTGACATTAATTTTCGGATGGATTTCTCAGTTTTCGCAAAATTTTTTATTTCAGAACAAGTTTTATTTACTTCAAATTTATTATTTCATTTTATTTTATATTATTTTATTTTATCTATTTATTTCCTTATTTGTTTCTAAAAAAGTTTATTGTCTAATGATCATCTCTAATGCCGTTTTGATAGTACAGTAAAGCATCATTTATACTCTTCTCAATTATACGTCGTTTTCTTTTATACGTCGTTCCATTACAGTTCCAGTTCATTTTCAATCTATAAAGTGTTACATAAGTTCTATTATACGACGAAAAAACTAACTCTTAGAAAAAAATTTATTTAATTTTCAGTTAATTTAATTTTTAGTTGTAAATTTTATATTGGTCATTTGTACAGTGTGCCAAAAGCAACGGACCACTCTGAATAACTTTTTATCTAGTAATCGGATCTTCACGTTTTAGGACTTATTCTTAATAGTTCGAGGAGTTCACCTCATATATGCTAATTAATTGGTGCAGTATTAGTGCTAATTGATTAGTGCATATGCTAATTAAATAGTGCAGACGATATTTTAGTTACTAAATCAGACACAAAAACGTGCTTTCTCTAAATAACCATACCTTTTTTTCAACGGTATCGGATTTCTAATCACGAAGATATAGGGAGTAGCCACAATCTGGGAAAAATGATCCCCATAGTTTGGTCCCCTTAATGTTATTTTTTACTTTTTGCGTATTTCGCTGTATCTCTAAAACTTTTTAAGCGAATTGAGAAATTTTTGCACACAATTATAAAATTCGTTTATCCAAAGATAATTCCATGTACAAAAATAATTTTTAATAAATATTATTTTTTATTAAACAATAGTCAGAGAAATTTTTAATGGTAAAGTATACAATTTTTCACATCATTTTAAAGTATGTAATTTTGTATGGCCAAATGCAAAATTTGAGTAAAATCGCTTGAATAGTTCCTGAGAAATCAAATTTTAAAAAGTCGTATATTCAAAATTCGATTTCTATGCAACTGATTTCGCTCAAATTTTCTCATGTAAAATTACATACTTTAAAATGACGTAAAAAATTTTATACCTTACAATTCAAAATTTTTTTGACTGTTATTAAAATATATAATAAATATTTACTAAAATTTATTTTTTGCATGGAATTATTTTGAGTAAAGAATTCTATAATTGTGTGCAAATGTTTTTCAATTCACTTAAAAAGTTCGAGATATGGATAAATGCTTAAAAAGTAATATTAACGTTAAGGGGTCAAAAATTTGGATCACTCTCTTAATCAAAATATGGGGACCATATTTCTCAGATTGCGGCTACCCTTTATATTTTTTGGTGGGTCAGAAATCCAAATCCGTCGAAAAAAAGGTACGTTTATTCAGAGAAAGTACGTTTTTGTGTCTGATTTCATAACTTAAAATATCGTATGAAATAATTAATTAGAATATTTGAGGTCACCCCCTCGAACCATTAAGAATGAGTCCTAGAACTAGAAATCAGATTACTAGATCAAAAGTTATTCATTGTGTTTCTTTTTTTTTCTTTTTTTTTGACGTACTGTACATCGGTCCCTTGAAAGACGTATAATCGGTGCTTAATTGTAATTAAAACTATTGAGTCGATGTCCTGGGCCGAGGTTCGATTCCCCGTACTAAAACATGTTTTGATTCTTGGCTGATCGAACTGCTCTTTCTCTAACCGTATCATTGTGGTTCTAAATTCATTTTAATGTTATGTCTCAGGTAATTTCTAAACCAGAAAATCCAACTTATGGTTGTGTTGTACTACCAAAAACAAAATAGAATTTTTTTAAATAATTTTTGATCTAATAATCATATTTTTACGTAGTGAAATGCATTATTAATTGTTCAAGGTCCTCAATATGCTAATTAATTAATGCTGATAATATTTTAAATTGCAAGATCGGATTTTGACCTTGAATCAACATGACCTTCTTTCCTCAAATTCAGATATTTGGTTTTCCAAGCTATGGAGGACATTCTGAATATATGGTTCCAATATTTCAGTCATAAAAACGGAATTTTCAACTCCTAAAGATTAATTTTACTATTTACGTATCTCGTCATATCCGAACTATTTAAGCTAACCAAAATATTTTGCCCACAATTATAAAACTCATTGATTCAAATATAGTTCATTGGAAAATATGTTTTTTTTAAAGCTAAATATCGTTTACAGAATCTTAAGCTATGCAATTTTAACCTTTTAGCGGTTGCTCTCTGGCACCAGGTTTCTTTAAGCATCAACGAGTAATGACCAGAAAGGGTAAAAAGTGGCTACGCTATCCACAATTTCCATATATTAAGGGCTGAAAACTGCGTTTAAAAAAGAGGCAAGTGCAATTTCGTATCGTGCCTTTAATTTTCAAATCTGGACACAGATCGAAATGCGTGTGTATGAAAATGGACATGGCTCAAAATACGGTTTTAAAAAAACAGAAACAGCTGGAAATGGACACAGCTCAAAATGTGTGTTAAAGAAAATGGGCATAGCATTTGATTCCACTTTCCAAATTTTTTTTTATTAGTGTTGTTCTTTTTTTAAAGAATAATCTAATAAATTCAAATAAATTCGTAATGTGATATCATCCATTTGCAAACAGAACTTGGTACATTTTATTAAATTAGTCTTTTGATGTTCATTTATTCATTCTTATTCATTTTAAGACTTTGAAAGTCAACACTTGTTTTTACACTGCTATGGGAACTATAAATTTATTATGGATGTAGTAAATTTACTTTGAAGGAATTTAGAGTTTACAAACTAACTTTACCATTCAGAGTTTTGAATATGAGGACATCACCTAAAAAATTACATATTGATCTAACCGTCCCGACATAATCGTTACGGAACTTAGTCCCGTAGCGATTATGCTCAGTAGTTAAGTAAGGAAAAGTAATCACCTTATTCCACGTTTAGTTGTTAAATTTGAGCTAAAATCCAAAAAGACGCATTTTTTGCTGAATCCATTTTCATAAATACGCCTTTTGAGCTGTGCCTATTTTCGTAAACACTCCTTTCGAATTGTGTCCATTTTCTTAAACACACTTTTAGAGCGTGTCCAAGTTTAAAAACTCAAAAGCCGATCTGATTTCGAGCCTGAAAATATCGTTTGCAGAAATTAACATTTTTAAAGTCTTCTTCGTGAATCAGCATGCTGGATCATAGGATTATTGTGCATTAAGTGTGAGGTGAAAAAAGTTAAAATAAGAAACCACAACAAATAAAATAATATTTTTTTTAAAATAAAAAGTAATGTAAACACGTGTTATCCTCCTTTCATCATAATAAAAATACATATAAAATTATTCCATGCTTTTTCTCCTAGTTCTTAAAAAATGTGTGATTCTTTCAATACAGCAAGGACCAAGAAAACCAAGTACAGGATGATGAGGTAAATTCCATAAAATCGTTTTGTTTGGAAGCGAAATAACAACATCATGAGTACTGTACCAACAAGACTCAAAGCCAATGTTGAAAACAATATAGTTGTTAGAGGTGAATACATTAACTGAAAAGAAAATAATCGTATTCTTTTAAATTTTCATGTTTTCGAATTTTGTAGGGTTTGAAAAGATAAAATATATATATTTATTTATTCCTACGAGTAGTATTCGGCTGCCAGCTGAATCACTAATTCAAAATGAGTTACCATGCAACCACCATTTTACCATTTGGCAAAAAAAAAAAAGAGGGATTTGAGCCCTCTGCACTCTTATGCTCACAGAGTTGCCAACTTCTCTGGCTTTTAGCTGGGGATTTATGCCAAATATTTAAAATGGTAGCAGAATTTCTGTTTTCAATAGTTTAAAAAAGATTTTGACAACGAAAATTTATAAATAATTACAAGATGCATATAAAATATCGGAAAAGTTTTGTCTTTAGATAATAGCAAAGTTTTAAATAGTTTTGCTTACTTAATTATTAATTTGCTACCACTTTAATGTGAGCAGGTAGAACTTGTGGGTTGGCAGACTCTGTACCAGTGCCTCGTTCAAAGGCATGGAGTTGGTGTACGGCCGTCCAATATCCAGACCACTGATACCGTAACAGATGAGTTATCCGAAACTGTATAGTATGTTGACTGGTTAACACTGTTATATGTAAAAAGCCCTTAACGAATTTTCCATTATCTGAGAAATCTATCATTATCACAGTGGAGGTTTGATGGTCGCACACTTTCTCATATCTTTGAAAAAGACACTGTGACTTTTCTAAGGTATAGATAGGTCTCTTGAAGCTCTATGTTTGCATTTTCAGAGGTGCAATTAGTGAGGATTTCATTCGAATGACAGACAACACCCTGCGTTGTCGATCACTTGTGGTCAGCATATTTACAACATGTGGTCAGTAATTTTCAGGAGGAAAGCGAAGAGTTTTCCCGCGTGATCTCAGACCTTTTTTTAAAAAGATGTTTGGTATACTCTGAAGGGGACAATTTCAACATTCAATTTTTTTTTCTTCTGAAAACCATTCAGTGACTGATATCAGAGTAGCTGAACAGAAACAAGTGGATCATGTTGCCCCAGAACACGTAAACTGTATAGTTTTCGGGATAAAATTACAGTGTTGACCTGTATATCACATTAAAAATAGACAGTGAGGGGCCATACCTTCTACTAGCCCATTTTTTTTCCCGATCGATTCAGTGAACATTGTTTTACAACTTCCGATGAGTATTACTCAGTTGTGGGTGTGCATTATAGTTATTGTATACTAATTTTACTCTAACTCTACTTTATAAAAAATTTCATTTAATATGGTCTGAGAACAATTTAGGAAATATGAAAATTCTTCTAATTTTGAATTCGATAGTATATACAGGGAGGTTAAATTATAATTAAAATCAAGACCCAAATAAAATATTTTTAAGTTCACAAATGTCGATGATATACGTTGTATGAACAAAATAGAATCTGAAACAAAAAATAAATACAACTTTCAACCAATAGATTTTCATGAACGAGAAAAGATTTACATTTATTTTATATTACTCATTAAGTCATTAGTATTACCATAATTTTCCCCGTTGCAGAAAATCTTTTGGCAAAATTTGTTTTATGTGAATGGCTTTCAATTGCATGGCGAGAGAATATGAACAAGCTTTAACAAGTTTAGAACTTCAAGAAAATGAAATGCCACATGGTATACATAAAGTATATACCAAGTTTCATTAACATCCAGTAACGAGAATAGTTCCTAAGCAACATTCCAGCAGATTAATATTCTCCCATAAGAGTGATACTATTGGACGAATAGTATCACTATATATATATTACATTTCACTTGTTTTTTGGTTTAATACGACTGGTTCCACGTGTCATGTTTATTTTTCTTTTTTTAAATTTGACATGTTTCCCTTGTAAATGATTCGAGAATGTTAAGAATTTCGTATTAAGTACTTACATCCATTCCTTTTCCTCCATCTCCAATTAATACAACTATACAAGGAATTCCAACTCCAAGTAGCAAGCCTAAAAAAGAATGTAATTAGGATAAAATGCTTTTCTTAATTCTATTTGAATTTGATTTTTTGTTTAAAAAACAAATTCCCTTATCAATAGCAATTTTAAAAGCATCTTCGTCTTTGTAAACTTTATTCAAGCAATCATCAGATCAAAGGAACGAGATGTTTGAAGATTTCTTATGACTTAATTACCAAAAAACTTGAACAATTTTATTATTTGCATGGTATCTATGGCTAATAATTCAAACAAAATTTAGATAAATTTATGCATCGACAGCTAACTCGAGAACTGTTTTAAAAATCCACAATTATTTGACTTAAATCTCTATATTTTTTTGACGTTTTTCTTCCAACTATATATATATAGCATCTCTATTTTGATAGGGTAGCTTCACTATTTCTTTCTGCAAAGTTTTTAATTACTTTTTTAAGTTATTATTAATTCTTTTAGATTTTTAAAAATTAAAAGAAGAAATAATTATTAATAATTATTTTTTGTATTAATATATTAATATTATTAATAATTTTATTTTTCTCAGTACGTGACCATCTGATCATTCGATTAAAAAAATTATAAGGTTTTCCTTTTTTTAACTGTGTGCACTTTACACCAAAAATACTTTTTATTTTGAACACAAACGCATTTCTCCTTGAAATATAAATTTAATCTTACCAATCAATTTACCCATCTTCTCAATTTTTTGTGGTAACCCAACTGGTTTTGTTATTTTCCATCCTGCTTCTCTCGATAGGAATTCGTGAGATTTTGATAGCGTTTTTTTTTTTCATCGCTTAAATTTTGATTTGTGAACTGTTATTTACATATTATTTCATTTAATTTTTGATCATAAAACTATATATTAAGAGTAATCATTGAGGAACACCCTTGATACCCAGATTTATAGTATTAACTAATGAAACTTCCTTGCTAGAATAATCTGAATTTTATTCTTACTTAAAAAGGGTCCTCCGAAACAGGCAGCAATGGCCATTCTTGGAAATCCTTTCCTCGCTACCGCGAGATTCGCCATAAAATCTGAAGAAAAAAATAAATATATAAAATAAATCTCACTTTTATTTACGCAACCCAACAAGCACACAACTTTTGGAGCTGGGGATNCCTATTGTACTTGCCTTTTGCCGTTACCCTACCTAGAATGCCAGCTTACGGCCTTACGTTTGCCGTGAGGTGTGTGCTTACTGGGAAATGGCTTAAGTAAGTAAATATCTATATTAAATTGGCTAACGATCCGCAAGTGTATATTATTTTATTTTATTTTATAACCATCATTGAACCCAATTTTTGGATTTACGACCTCTAATGTTCAACTCCATAGCCTTGTAATTTTGAACCCAATCCAGAAGACAAGGGAGCTCCTGGATCAAGTATAGGGAAAAGTTTTGCCTTCGTCGATTACTTTCTCGTGGTCTTCTTCTCTGTGCAGCGCACAGAGAAGAAGACCACGAGAACCTCCCACGGTTAGCCTGACGGCAAAGGGATTCTAACCCATAATCCGTCTACCACTGCGGTCAGCACTGTGGTCGGTGCAAGCCAGATGCGGAACCCGGTTCACCTCATTGGAAGGCTTCATCCCCTAAGCCCTCAAGTGTTATATTATTATTCAGATGCTTAAAAGGATATTTCAGTGAGACACCTGTGATAATTAAAGAAACGGTTAATGTATTCATACTGGCTAATCCAGCCAATTTAAAACAAATTGAGAATGTTTTGAAGTGTCTTAAACTTAGATGAATTTGTATGACAGGAAAAAAACGCATCATAACTAATTCTAGAAAAGTTTGGTTCCATATGGCAAAAGAATGTGCTCATTAATATATGAAGTCAATGCCAAAACATCTTTAAGACATACTGTTATAAAAATTATTGTAACAGCAATCTTTGAAGACGTTTGATATAAAGTACTTACTGTTGCATAGTATATTTATCAATCTATATAAAGGCATAGTATAAATAAGACCACAAGAAAGATTTGTTATACTTTATTCCAATTAATTTATACAGTATAGTATATGAAGAGAAATCACTTATGTTTTTAAAGATATGTATTTTTAGATGACTTATGGATGATATTTAATAAATTCATTCATATGAACCAGGAGGAATGCATATTAAACATTTTTGATTTTCAAGTTGTAACGGAAATGTGTAATAATTTATATTTAACCTACACCTTAAGGGTCAAATAATTAATAAGTAAGTAAAAAAAAAATCATCGACAAAGTTGTATGTCGACATATCAGACGTGTCGATACATGCATCGTCGAGTTGTATGCATCGACAAAGTGTTCATCTTTCGTTTGGAAATGATTTATAATTTCACGCGACACTTTGGTTTGCTCTAAATAACCCCTATAATTATTCGCGCTTGTGTTTATGATATGAAAATAGTAAGAAGAAAAATTACCGAGTAGACAGTTTCCCCATGATAAAATTGTCAGTCCAAGGATAGATTCACTGAGACTAAAAGCAACTCCAACAGCCTAAAAAAGAAAACAATACGCTGAGTATTATGTTGAAATACTTAGTATAATGTTTAATTGACTTGTTAAAATGTTTTTTTCCTAATTAAAAATAAATAAACGCTCTAGAACACATAAATTGCTTAAATTTCTGTCGATAAAAGTTAGAGGGTGCTTCTTACAATCCTAGAATCAAGATCAGTGGTTACCAACTGGCGGCCCACATCCGGCCGGCGAAGCCTTTTTTTGTGGCCAGTTAGATAAAATATAGTAGTTGTCATTTTTTTGCGGACAATTTTTGTAAAAAATCTATATAGGTTTAAAATACTTTTCTTTCGTTAAAAAAAAAAAAACTAATTCTTCGCTTCTGCGAAATTTAACATACCAACGGTGCAAAAAAAAAACAAATTCTCAGGTAAAAATCTACTTCTTACTTTAATTTGTAATTCAATACTTTTGTTTTGTACAACTTGATAAAAGTCTGACAGTAATATTTAAAGTTCCTTCAAACGTAAAAGAATCCTGTATAAAATTTTGATAAAGTTGCGGCCCGCCGTTTGACTGGTGTTTTTAATTGCGGCCCCCGGCGTCATGTAAGTTGGAAACCCTTGATCTAGATTAGCAATAAATATTTGAACACCCATTCATATCGGAGGAATAATGGTCTTGAGTGTTACACCTGACAGGAATTTGATATATGGGGGAGAAAAAAAGAGGCAAGAATATGTAGAAGATAATTTTTCAAAAATTTCGAAAGAATAATAATTTTCCATGTTTTTTTTTTTAACTAAACTGTGGAACAATAAGTTTTTTTCTGTACTGTTTTAATTGTAAGTGGCTGTAGAAATGTTCTCAGTCCCTTTAAAGGCGATAAAAGGTAACGTAATTCGTGAAAAATGGTGGATGATGAAGGATTTCTATTGAGGAAATGATTTCCTGCTAATTTAGATCTCTAAATAATGAAATAATAAATGGGTGCAAAAGAAATACTGGTTTCATGTTGTTTTAAATTAAACTATAGCATAGCTACAGTAGTTTGGCTACATAGATTACCGTAGCTCAATCCCCAATAAATTTTGAGACAGCTTTAATTTCTTTTAATTTAGCCTTAAAGAGCATTAAAATTGTCATCATCGAGGTCTTTTGGAAACTTAATTAATAAACTTAACATAATTAATAAACTTAAATTTGCTTAAATTTTTTATTCTTGTAGTTCCTTTACATCGCACTAGAGCTGCCCAACGGGCTATTGGCGACGGTCTGGGAAGCATCCCTGAGGATGATCCGAAGACACGCCATCACAATTTTGATCCTCTGCAGAGGGAATGGCACTTCTATAGCTCGACGACCTGAGTGCGAAGTCGAGCACTTTACGTTAACGGGGACCAATACCGCACACCCTCGAACTCTATGCAGATTGATCCAAGTGGTCACCCACACTGACTCCAACCAGTGATGCTTGACTTCGGTAATCTGCTGGGAACCGTGTCTTAACGATCTGTCCACTGCGGGACGACAAATTTTTAAAAAATGCCTTGTGGCTATAATTTGAATAAATTTAGAAATCGATTTCATTTCTTATAATTAAGTTTTTAACGCATCTTATTATGTTTAAAAATGTCATAACAAAAGTGTTTCGAAATCTAAGATATTTGATAATCAAAGTCTAAGAACATTAAGTAACATTCAGTAACATGTAATTTTGTAAAATTTGATTCTAAAAAACAGCTCTCAAAATTCAACTAAATTAGAATCCCTCCTACAATAAAACAAAAAAAATTTCTTTAGAGGAAGAGATTTAATAATAATTTTACAAAAAAAAATCAAATTGTTAATACAAAGCATCATTTATTAGACTTCCAAAATTCCAAACGGGTTCCAAAACCGACGGTGTTCAAAAATTTATATCTAGAAAACAGATCAAAAAGCAATTCTTGTCACAGGGCATTTTCCTCTCAGAGTTTTCAAGTTCCACACATCATCGACAGATGGCGCTGCAAATAGTAAAGGTATAAATGGAAGAAACTGAACTAATTGAAAACCAAATCAGATTTTTTTTCAAAATTTGTTGCTGAATGAAAATCCTATTACAATATTTTTGAAACGTCGACGATCAACCACAAGCACATATAGTAATCTACCTCGTTGTGATATAGTTTTCAATTATTTTTCTTTGATTTTTAGGTTTACTATTCGCAATCGAACTAAAACCAAGATCTCTAGGAGAAAAACACATGCCTTATCACGCGAAAGATAAAAAGTTTTTTTTTTTTTTAGCCTTGCCAATATTTCTGTTATAAGTTTATGTTAACCAACTTGTATTAACTTAAAATCGTTCCAAGATAGTCGGATTACCTGTATTAAAACGACGATCTCTGTTGCAATGCAATAAATCCAACACACTGCAATAAAGAATCCCAAAAAAGCAAAAGCTGTGTGAAATCTTGGAGGCTCTTCTGGTGTAGTCATGTAATACAGAATACCAGCTAATATGCAAGATATTATGAATACCACGGCTATTAATGGAATCACTTCTCCTATGCTATATGTTCCAACTAAGTGAAAAATTGACAATGTTAGTGAAATAGGTAATTTTTTTTTACTTTTAACAAATCAATTTTTAATGTATTTTTCTAAAGATAATTGAAAAACTTAGTAAAATAAAGTATTAGATGTGTAAAGAGAGGTCAAATACAGATTTTGGCTTTTCAGTTGTATGTATAGAATTACTTAATTAAAAAATGTGTTCTATTTTTTAATAGTCCAGACAATAGAGATCAAAAATATACGTTAACTGGAAAAATTGAATGGAGATTTTACTTTTTGTGTTCAGTAGAGCTCCGATTATCCGGACCAATTAGGACCAATGCCGATTCGGATAATGAAAAATCCGAATAAAAAGATATCTTCATCAAACGGCTATAGACGATGATTTTAAAGTACACTCATGTCCATAAATTAAGGATAATTCAGAATCACACGGAAATCAAACTCTAAAATTAAAATTTCACCTGCAGAATTATCACACACATCCTGGAGAAGAATATACAAATTACAGGAAACCACTAGATGACGCTGGTAGTACGTCGCAATGACGAGAGTGTAAGAGAGGGGTATATAAGGAATGGTGGCAATGAAGTAAAATTGCTCACAAGCGCTTTAAAAGCCTTTCAGTGCAATAACCGCATAGTTATGGCACAAAGGAAGCATTTGGATGATTTTTTACGTGGCAGAATCATCGGACGACTGGAATGTGGACGTACCCAGCTGGAAGTATCCGAGGAACTTGGAATCACCCAGAGTGTCATCTCCAGGCTTTGGCAACGATTCCAAGATGATGGTAATGTGAGTAGACGTTACAGCACAGGTCGCCCCCGAGTTACAACGCCGAATGAAGACCGGTATTTGGCAGTTACTGCCAAAAGAAACAGACGGAGCACAGCATCAGACCTGTCTCGTCAGCTCTCTTCAGCTACCAGTACGACAGTTTCAAGGCAGACCGTGTACAGACGCTTAGGGCACATTGGTCTATATGCTCGTAGGCCTGTCAGATGTGTTCCACTTACCGCAACTCACTGTCGCCTGCGATTAGCCTGGAGTAGAGAGCATGCATTGTGGACACCGCAACAGTGGTCTTGTGTGATGTTTTCCGACGAGTCCAGGTTTAGTTTGCAGTCTGATTCTCGCCGGACTTTCATATGGAGAGCGCCAGGTACCCGTTACCACCAAGACAATACCATTGAACGACACCGTTACGGTGGTGCAGGATGGCTCGTTTGGGGAGGAAATATTTTTGGTTCCAGAACTGACCTGCATGTTCAGAGTGTAACGATGACAGGCCACATCTATAAGGATGTCATTCTGGAACAACATTTACGTTTGTTTCGGGGCGCCATGAGTGCTGAATTTTTGTTTATGGACGACAACGCCCATCCTCACTGTGCAAACATTGTAGACGAATGCCTTCAATCGGTGGATATCACCCGTATGGATTGGCCAGCATACTCACCGGACTTGAATCCAATAAAGCATGTGTGGGATATGCTTGGCCGATGAATTGCAGCCCGTCCACCACCTCCCTCCTGTCTACCGGACTTTCGGAGGGCATTGCTTTATGAGTGGTGTAATATTCACAAAGATCAGATTGATAATTTGATACTCAGCATGCCTAGGCGTTGTACGGCATGTATTGCATCATCAGGGAGACATACTCCGTATTAAAAATCATACTAACCATGTTACACTGTTTTTTGTAAATAGGTTCGTTTTTGAAATTTGCTCCAGGGAGTAAAAATCGCAATTGTTATTAATTTATGTCAAATATATAGCATCTTTTTTTCTCCTTACCTTTTGTTTAATACATAGACTTTACAAATAAGTCAAATTTGTTTGACTTCTGTCACTTTCTGTGCCTGAACTTCATTATCCTTAATTTATGGACATGAGTGTAGCTTACCTTCACACTTTTTTTCAGGCTTAGAATTTTTATTTTATTTTATAACCGTCATTGAACAGCCGACCCAATTTTTTGGGTTTACGACTACTAATGTTCGACTCCGTAGCCTTGTAATTTTGAAACCAATCCAGAAGACAAGCGAACTCCTGGATCAAGTACTGGGAGAAATTTGCCTTCGTGGCGAACTTTTTGATGGAAGTAACTGAAATTTGCTTTACTTGGAGAGGAAAACCACTAAAAACTCCCGTTGTTAACCTGGGGGCAAGGGGGCTCTACCCCAGGATCCGTCTATGATGATATATTACGTCAGCACTGGAGTCAGTGCTAGCCGGATCGAACCCGGTTCACCTCATTGGAAGGTGAACGCTCTAACCCCTGAACCATCACTGCTCCAGGCGTAGGATTGGCAATTGTAGTAATGCCCATTATAGCATATTACAAATGGAGTGTCCAAAAGCTTTACGTTTTTTAAATTTTATTAAAAACCCTTATGAGAAACTACTTACCAACCACATTAAAACTGGGCGGTAAGAACTTCAGATTCTGCAGTAACAGCAACCAAAACAAAGCAACGGAACACACTTCGGGTGTCACCCCCAGATGGAACAGTCTCATTGCAAAGAAACAAGCTCAGGGCTCTCATTGATTTAACCTTCTATTTATATTTTGGGGTAACTGTATTTTATTTTGAAGGCATGTTTAAATACAATTAAATTAAAATTAATAAATCAAAATAATCTAAACAATCCCCCAGTGGGCAACGGTAAAATTATCAAACGTTGACAGGTCGCGGTGATAAAAAGGTTGGGGAACACTGGTTTACACAAGAGAGCGGTCGAAAGTTTGGTCCTATTTAATGTTAACTTCACTTTTTTCGTATTCCTCCATATTTCAGAAACATTTGAAGCGAATAAAAAAAATTTGTACTCAAATATAAAATAAGTTTATCTCAATGTAACTACTTGTAAAAAATAAGTTTATAATTACTTTTTAATTATTTCCTTTATTCAATAATAGACAAAAATATTTGAATAATAATGTAAATAAATTTTTACATTATTTGAAGCTATAGGAATTTTATTGTCAAAATCCAAAGTTTAAAAAAAAGTCAGTCAAATAGTTCTTGAGAAATAATTATTTAAAATAAATTATTATTTTTGCAATTTTATAACTCAATTTGACCAATTTTTTTTCCGATCCAAAATTCGAAAATACAAAAATTCGAAGTAATTTTGGATTTTGTTATTTATACTTACATAGATTAAAGTAGTCCAATTAAAATTAATAATGTTGAAATGATTTTCAGTTGTTTTGCTTAGTTTGTTTCCTGCTAAATGGTAAGGACAACTTTAGCCGCTGTGTTTTTGAATTTTTTTTTTGAAAGAAACTGTTATGAAGCATATATTGAAACGCGTTACATTAATTCTTTAAGCCCAAAACAAAGTCTAGAAGCATTTTCCTCAGTCTTACTGATAGAGAATGGCACAAAATTTTAACTAGAAGTTTTAAACTGCCAAAAATTAACCCCAGTTGACAGCAATTATCGTTTTGAGCTTATCTAGAATTTATTTTATTAAATTTTTAACATTTATCCTTATTTTAAAGAAGGCTAAGTTAGATAAATATATTTTTGATTAACTTCTTTCAATAAGAAAAAAAATTGTTTGGACACACGATCCTCATAACATAGCGTCATAAAACTCATTAATTCATTTAATATGCTTCTTATAAAATATAATTAACTTCAACCTAAAAGTTCTGCTTTCATTAAATAATAAAAAAAAATTTCAATCAATATTAAAGTTCCATAAATATTAATTTATTACTAATAACTGAACTATATTCGAACTATGTGAAAAAACTGTTTTAAAGATAAGCTACTATATTCTAAGAATATTTGATATTATTTATTAGAAAAATTTAGTTTTATTAATTAATAAAATTATACTTTTTTTTTACACGTGACAAATCAACATTCCAAGTCAAATCCATTTCTAATTATGCGAGCGATCATCCACAGGATTTCGAAAATTATTAATTTCGATTCGCTTTAAAAAATAAAGATACTGGAAACCAGCATTTTGAGTTTTAAAAAAAAATTTAAATGCAGTTAAAATTTAAATGTAGTGTTATTAGTTTTCCTTAAAGTTTCTATTGTACAAAAATTTATTAAATTCAATGTATAACAGCCTAAAATGTAGAAAAAAAACGTAAAGTAATATAAAATAAAGTAATATAATTAGGATAACTAAATAACCTAATAAGTGATGTATTAATAATTATTCAAAATTTTTATCACAAAAAGTCTACAGCAACCTCTTAACTGTGTGTACAGTGCGCAAAATAACACCCTGAATAACCGGATCTTCACATTCTTGGACTCATTCTTAACTGTTCGAGGGGGTAACTTCAAATATGCTAATTAATTAATGCAGACGATAGTTCCAAAATCAGACACAAAAACGTTGGAAGACCTTTTTTCTTTCTGACCCCCAAAATATAGTCGTTTGTTTCTCAGGTTGCGGCTACGGTGGTCACAAATCCACCGAAAAAAGCGTATGTTTATTCAGAGAAAGTAAATTTTTGAGTCTTATTTCCTAACTTAAAATATCATCTGCACTAATTAATTAGCATATTTGAGGTCCCCCCTTCGAACCATTAAGAATCAGTCTTAGAACTTGAAGATCTGATCATTAGATCAAAAGTTATTTAGAGTGATCCGTTTGTTCATTTTAAAGTTCATTATTCACAATTTAAAAGTATGTAAGAACATATTTATTCATAATATAGTGTTTTCTATTATTTTAGAATATAAAAAAATAATTAATCATGATTCATTCATAATATAGTCCTAAATGGCTATAAGAGCAAATTAAGAACCTCTAAGCTATTATTCCATTAATATGCTAATCAGCAATTAAGTGTGTTGCTATCCAGTTGTATAGAAAACAAAAGTTTTGCCAAAATGCTTAAATAGAAATTTTAATAGATAAACAACAGAAGAATTGTTCTGACTGTCCACCCTAACCTCCCTCCCTTACTAAGAGTGTTAACGAAAATAATGATACTTTTGTTAATGACAAATAAAGTACGTTTACTTACACATGAGAAATGTAGCAAAACATGGGCCAGTTACAAGATGAAGGCAATTTAAAATTCTGCACCAATTGTCCCGTGGGCTTTGGTAATCGACTACAGGCATTGTAAGAACAAATGGAATCATAAGAGGACCCTAGAAAAGTAGTCAACAATTGTTTTTACTTCTGCAGAAACCTTAACTAAAAATTGAATTTAAATTGAAAGAAAGTTTAAATTAAAACACCTGGAAAGTTTTGAATTGCAAATATGAAGTAAAGCGACAGTTATGTGAAACCAAAAAGTGTTCAAAATTTAAATTTTCAATATTTGATTAGATACTCTCTCAATGTATTTTTTGAACTCATAAAAGTATGCAAAATTAGAGAACTATCGATTTAGTTTGTGATTTTTATTTAAGTGGGAAAATATCACCGAATTGTGAATTTCTTTAAAAGTTGAATATTTTTTGAAATATTTAAAATATTGGTCCAAACGATTCTTTACAGTAAGGTATTATATACAATTTAAAATTAAAGCTCAACAATATTCAAACTTTAGAGTTTTAATTTTCTTTGACGAAAAACAACTTTAAATATCAGATATGAATCCGATAATCATCATTCTTCAGTCGTTTGTAACAAGAGTACGTAGTGCAGAAATAAGTTTATTATCTGCTTTTACGAGAATACTTTACTCCAGCTAATTCAATGATTTTATAAAATTTATATGCAGAATGTAATGCGCGTTTTTTGTATTTTCAACAAAATAATTGCAAGGAAGTGTTTGACTTATAACATCTATAAGACCAAAAGGTAGTATTATAAAACGAATATTTGAGAAAGTGCAAAACAATTTCGACTAATTCTGAGAGTAAGATCGAATTCTAAATAAACACTGCATTTGGAATGCCAGTACTATTTTACAATCACAAACAGTATGTTTTCATCACAATAAACCCACAAGAAGTTTTGATTCGTAATATTTCTCATAGTTTGCACGATATTTCAGCTTTTTAATTTAATATTATTGTTAAAGGAAATGGTTATAATTCTTCATAATGTCAACACCTTAAAAATAAGATGCATTAACCAAACAAAAATAGAGGATACACAAATTCTACTCACTAAACAAGAATAAAGGATACAGATATTCTAATCACTAAACAAAAATTAAGAGTACAGAAATTCTATTCACTAAACAAGAATAGAGGATACAAAAATTCTACTCGCTGAACCAGAATAGAGGATATAGAAATTCTATTCACTAGAGAAAAGAGGATCCAGAATTTCTACTCACTAAACCAGAATAGGGGATATGGAAATTCTGTTCACTAGAGAATAGAGGATCCAAAATTTCTGCTCACTAAACCAGAATAGAGGATATAGAAATTCTGTTCACTAGAGAATAGAGGACCCAAAATTTCTACTCACTAAACCAGAATAGAGGATATAGAAATTCTTTTCACTAGAGAATAGAGGATCCAGAATTTCTACTCACTAAAGAATAAGGGATACACAAATTCTTCTCACTAAACAAGAATAGAGGATACAGATCCCCAAAAAGTACTACTATCATAACTTTATTTCGTTTCGATAAGTGAATTACCTAGACTATTTTGCGTCTTTCTTATATATTAATAGTTAAGACAACAATTGGTAACGAAGCCGGGATAGCCTGGTTGGTAAGACTTTGGACTCGTGTTCAAGTGAAATGGAGTTCGAATCCCGCCGTCTGAAGAAACCCTGTGTATTAAATGATGACTGGTGCACGTTAAATCTGTCGAAGTCACAAAGTCCTCGAAGTTACAATCCACTAACAAATCCATACCTCTGGAAGTACTAAATTGGAGATTGATTCTCTGGTTCAAGTGTCCTGTGAAACGGGCTATAATGTATTGTTTGACTGAAATCATATTCTTGGCCATAGATGCCACTTAAAAACAAGAAATGCGCCATCTGCTTTAAATTCGCTTGGTTTCCCAAGCAGGCTTGTTGGCATTGCAAGTAGGCAATAGAAACAACAGCACAATAGGTAACAAAAGGAACTCTCTCTGTGCACAAAGAATCTCTTTTTTTAAAAATGCATATATCTTCTACGACAGTATAACGTGGTTTGTAAGCAACATTTGGTGTATAAATTAAATGATATTTAAGCAATGATTTACTTTTAAAATATCGAGAGATCGCTCCATCCAATTCTGTTGTGACCATTCCTTGAAATTTACAGGGGACACTTTTTCTGCGAAATCTGACCATTGGTTTACAGGCTCAGGAATAGGAATTTTTTCATCTTTTGATGACTTGTAATAATCACATCCGGGAGAACACATATTTTCCTCATATCGTTGCATTTCAGTTTCTAAATAACCTACAAATGAACCATATTTAAATCTCCATATACAATTATTTTAGAAATATGCATGAATGGAATTTTCGTATTAATTTCGCTACTCAGTTAACTATATAAAAGGTCTTTTTAATCAATTTATTTTAGATAGTAGGGTAAATTAATGTATTTAATAACTTAGCAGTTAATCTTGGGTTAAGTTGTTAAAAAGGGATAAACCAAGTTTTCCAACACATTTAGGGATAAACACATTTTTTTTTCTTCTATAGCACAAAAGTTTTTTTTTTTTCGAGCTATTTTTCTATTAAATCTATTTTTCGAACTTGGACAGATAAATATGCAAGGTATTCGTAAGGACCACCTTTAACACGTTGAGCATTACGCGTATTTTTAAGGAAATCCTCGTCAGGCCACCCGCTTATTGTGGCCGAACAATGCGCAGCCCACTACTATGAACAGGTTGAAATAGATAAGAATTTGATTTGTAATAAATAAAATTAAGTAAACTTATAGTATTACATTAAGTAAATGCATCATATTTTACTTCGTCAGTTACCGGGGACTAACACAGCATAACACTGTCAGTCGCCGTTGACTAACCTGACATTCAAAACCTCCAGTGTATTTTTTTAGAATATTTGTAAAAAATGCAGACGGAAAGGAACATACAGCGCGCGCAAAAAAAAAGTAAAAAAAAAAATAAATAAATAAATATAAAAAAAAAAAAAAAAAACGATCACCCTGAATAACTTTTGGTCTAATGATCGGATATTCACGATCTAGGACTAAATCTTAATGGTTTGAAAAGATATGCTAATTAATTAGCGTAGACGAAATTTTAAGTTACGAAATCAGACAAAAAAAACTCTCATGGTCTGAATAAACATACCTTCTTTTAACGGATTCGGATTTCTGGCCCCCCAAATATAGGGGGTAACCGCAATCTTGGAAAAATAGTGCCCATAGTTTGGTTAGGAGATCGATCCAAGGTTCTGAGCCCTCAATATAATTTTTTTTTGCGTATTTCGCCATATCTCGAGAATTGTTTAAACGAATTGAAAAATTTTTTCATACACTTATAAAATTCGTTTATCCAAAGATAAATCCATGGAAAAAATATATTTTAGTTAATTTTTTTTATTTTTTTGTTATTTTATTCAATAATTGACGAAGAAATTTTGAATTGTAAGGTATGAAATTTTTTACATCATTTTCAAGTAGATAATTTTACATATTTGAAGATATCGCATACCTTACAATTCAACATTTTTGCGACTATTATTAAATAAAATAATAAAAAATAATAAATATTAATAAAAAAAAAATTTCATGGAATTATCTTTGGATAAACAAATTTTATAATTGTATGCAAAAATTTTTCAACTCGCTTAAAACTTTTGCGAGATACAGCAAAATAAGCAAAAAGTGAAATTAACATTAAGGGATCCGTACTGTGGATCGCTCCCCTGACTAAACTATGGGAAACATATTTCCCAGATTGCGGCTACCCCTTATATTTTGGGGGTTAGAAATCCGATTTCGTTGAAAAAAAGGCATGTTTATTCAGAGAAAGTGCATTTTTGTGTCTGATTTCGTGGCTTATAAAGTCGTCTGCGCTAAGCATATTTGAAGTCACCCTTTCATTATCTTATGACAGCTCTCACATGGTAAATTCTGGGTCTCACATGGTAGATATCGTTAATTTTATTAAATTTCAAATATTTATAAGGGTCCATTGGCCAATTTATAAATTTTAATTAAATTTTTTTTGTTGAATTTTTCATATATTTTATTGTAAACATTAATCTAGATGTTTAACTTCACCTGTTAGTTAATAGTCGGAATAATCACAACTATTATACATGTAAAACGTTTAATTCTAAAGGTGAATTTGTTACTTTTGTATTTTTGGCCGATTACCTCCGGGCTGTTGCCAAAATAGTACGTACTATGTTTTTTTCTTGTTTTTAAGTAAATGCCACGGAGGGGCTTCGCCGGGCCTCTCGGCCAGTGCGTGTGGCAGATACTCTCTGTCCACCTCCGGCTGTGCGGGAGACTATCATGGCGACAAGTTGAAAATTTTTCCCGCATACCCATATTTGGGGGGGGGGATCGAGGACCTAATTAAATTAACCTTGAAGTCACCCTTTCGACTAGTAGGTTGCAAAGATTTCGGAAAGCACTCCCTCATTTGACATGGATATCAACCAATTAGACATGGATGCCACACGCCGTTGACCACAGCCGGCCAGGGGGTCTACCTTTCTGCATGTAAAATGTCTGGCGCCTACGTGTGGCTCGACAGACTCCTCGGACGGGGTCATTAAAGGGAGGAACATAGAAAATGAAAATGCTATTGGTTCTATAAAGCGCTGTGATTTCGTAAAAATGTATTTTTTAATTTTTTTAATTTTGTAATAAGAGTGTTTTGATTTTAAACTCCGCATTATTCATTATTTAAAAATAAATTTAATAGTCCTGAAATGATTAGTTTTCTTATGGATTAAAAATTGTTCGCTATCTTATTTAAGCATTAATAGGCATTTTTAGACGAACTAATGAACGGATACAAATACTCGTAATAGCTTAAAAATAATAAAAGTTATGTTTACCCATGAGTTAATCTCTTATTTAACGGTATTTTTTTTTATCCTGTTCTATTTTCTTTATAAGAATAGTAATCTTTGAATTGTCATAACTTTTTTACTATTATTACGTTTTGTATAAAAATAAAAGGAGTGTAAAATATACTCGGACAGTCCTCTGTTGTAACCACAAAATTTATTGACCACTGCGCACGGGCCGCCTTTATTTCCCCCAGACAATTTAATAATTACGCTCTGTTAACTTATTTTGCCAATTTAGATTTTATATATATATATATAGATAGATAGATAGATAGATAGATAGATAGATAGATAGATAGCGAACAATTTTCAATCAATAAGAAAGCTGATCATTTTAGAACTGTTACATTTATTTTTTAATAATAAGTAACTCGCAATTTAAAACAAAAACATTATTTTTAAAAAATTAAGAAAATAAATACATAAATTTTTGCGAAAACCCAACGCTTAAGAGCATCAATAGCATTTTAATTTTCAATTATATATATATATATATATATATATATACAAAAAAGGGAGAAATTTTCAGGTATCAATTATAATAACGTAATCAAACTTTCCAAAAAAAAAAAAATATGATATTAATTTTTCTGGAAAAAAAAAGTCTGAGTTAACTGGAGAAAAAA